GGAGGTCATGAACATCGCGATGACTCGGATGTGGGTTTCCTTCCCTACTCTGCCGAGTACTGACCCAGCAGTGTTGGACCCTTACTTAATCTCACTGAGCCTTGACTTCTTTTTGTTTTGGTTTTTCTGGTGGTGACTGGATGAGACAGGATTTCACTCTGTAGACCAAGTTGGTCTTGTTTCCAGCAATCTGAAATCAGGAGGCTAGGGTTATGGCCTGGCTCACCGTGCCCAGCTGACGCCATTGATTTGAAGTACAGCTACCTACCGCTCTTAGGACTTCAAATGAGCTGATGTCTAGGCAGCACTCCCTGGTGCTGGTGTGCTGTGGAAACAGAGCAGACAGTGAAAAAGACATGAGGCTCAGAGGCTGATACCGCTGGAGTGCTTGCCATCCTATGTGTTTTGAATTTCCGAGATCAGAATAGTAACGGTTGGGCTGGGGCGTAACTCAGGAGTAGAGGGTCTGCTTCGTGGAAGTGAGTGTACCTGTGTATAGTACCATTATATATACAGTATAGTACTGTACCATTGGATAGCATCTTCAGATCTGAGACACCACTGCCATAGGCAGGTATACTAATAGTTCTGAATAAACTCACAGGGAAAGCTGGCATGGTAGCACTTGACAGTAATTGAAGACTTGGGATGCTGAAGCAGTAGATTGTCAAGAGTTCATGACCGGCCTGAGATTTTTTTCTTTTGTTTTGTTTTTCGAGACAGGGTTTCTCTGTAGCTTTGGAGCCTGTCTTGGACTAGGTCTGTAGACCAGGCTGGTCTCAAACTTACAGAGATCCACCTGCCTCTGCCTCCCAAGTGCTGGGATTAAAGGCGTGCACCACCACTGCCCGAGCTTTTTTTTTTTTTAAATGCAGCCAGAGCCGGGCACTGGTGGCAATGTGCCTTTAATCCCAGCACTTAGGGGCAGAGGCAGGCGGATCTCTTGAGTACAAGGCCAGTCTGATCTACCAAGCGAGTTCCCCGTCAGCCAGGGTTACACAGAGAAACCTTGTCTCGGAAAAAAAACAAAAGCTGTATGTAGGCTTAGCCCAGCATGGTGGCTCACACTCAGGAGGCTGAGGTGGGATAGTTAGTTTATCGTTGCTCAGCCTTTTGGCTCAGATCAAGGGTAGAGTGTTGGAGGCCAGTTTGGACTGTATAGGGAGACCCTGTCTCAAAACACAAAGAGAGAGAGAACCAAAGCTGACATTCAGTGCTTGCCTAGAACACTTTTGCTTATTCATCTCCTACTATCCTCACATTCCCCCAAAAGCAAACAACCAGGAGTCAGGATCTTAGCAAAGCACCGTCTTGCCATTGAGGAGAATCAGAGGGGGAAGTGGGTGTGTCTGTGGCCATCATCATCATCACTGAAATGTCCCAAGGAGAAAGTGCAAAACCTTTCCCAGCCTGTGCATGATGGTGAGTCCCAGGCTAGCCTGCACTACCTAGTGAGGTGTTATCTCAAACATCATCCAGGCCCTGTCTGATGGTCCGTTTATCTCAGTAATTGACAGAAGTGGTCGTGGGTGAATCTTGTTGCCCGTGGTTCTTTGTAATATAGTTGACCTCTGTACACCTCTTGAGTGCTGAGAGGCATTGAGTGGGATGACTAGAGGCAGATAATAGGCTGTTAAGGATGTTGAGTCATCCGCCCTCCCTGTCTCTCAGCAGCATGCAAGTGCCTCCTCCCCGGAGTCCTGTTGATTCAGAGCTGTGATCACTGAAACCAGTTTCCACCTAGCCGGGGAGGCCTGGCTGTAACTGAACAGCATGATGTAACCACATGGCTGTGCTCAGCAGGGACTTGGTGTTGTGTGTAAGGTCTCACTGAAGCTGTTGAATAAATGTCAAGCCTGTTGCCCTGTTGTGCACTTCACTTGCCTAGGCCACCTTGTGCCAAGGAAGTGGTGTAAGCGTCATGGAGGCACAGCTGGTCAAGCCTGTTATTTCCTGTGTTCTCTGTAGAGCTGGTGGAGTTGAAATCTATAATGGGGATCGCAAGATAAAGGTTTCCAACACTCTGGAAAGCCGGCTGGACCTCATAGCCCAACAGGTGAGTGCAGAAGAATTCTGGTTACCTGTTGGCTGATCCCACCTGCCAGCTCCCAGATAACCACACAGACTTCTTATTAATTGTGAAAGCTCGGTTGATAGCTTAGGCTTGTTTCTAACTAGCTCTTACAACTTAAATTAACCCATTTCCATTAATTTACTTCCTGCCTCGTGGCTTTATTACCTATACTCTGCCCACATTGCTTTCCTGCTTCCTCCATGTCTGGCTGGCGACTCCTCACTGCCCCAGAAATTCTGCCTAGCTATTGGCTGTTTAGCTTTTTATTAAAGCAATCACCTTGAAATATCTTCACATAGTGTAAAGGACTAGTCTACACCAAGCTGGCACTCACTCTCAAGGACTGCAGAGAACACAGGCCTTTCAAAGTGAGTGCGAGGCTGCTGGTTCTCACGTTTTCACACTCGCACACTGAACTCCAGGAAACACAGGCCAGTCATCTTCCAGGCATGGTGGTCAACAGCCGCACTGCTAACTTTTTTTTTTTTTTTTTTTTTTTTTTGCTGAATGCCGTTTATTGAAGGAGGGAGGAGGTCTTAAATATAGGCTTACAGCACAATGGGAGAACACCAGAGGGCAGAAGTTCGCTACCGTTGTTTTACAATCTTGCATCTAAACTGTTAATGCCCATTATGCAGGATACACAGACAAGGAACTTCCCTTAAGCATTCAGGAGGGTGGAACCAGGCAGGGAATTAGCATAGGGAGGATATCAAGGTCAAGGTCAGCAAGCAAGGCAACAGTTACCCAAAACGGGGGCTAGGACCCTACAGGTCCCCCTTTTACTAGAAAATGAGCTTCTGACTTAGGTTGCATGGGACGTCAGCAGGTCACCTTACCTGTCATGGAGACGCCTGCCCAGGCCACACAGGCGCTCTGTCTTAGGTTAATGAGCGCCCCCCAGGCATTACCCGTCTCTGAATACTCATAATCATACAGGCTCAATTGTGTGTGAGCTGCAGAGTTAATTGTTGCCAAAGATCTCAAAGTGGCACTGGGCTTGCAATCTGTGTGTTTGACACAGAAAAGACTAACAGAGGTCCTATCTCACCCATAGCCAGTAGGCTAAAGGCAACAGCCATTCCCTGCCTTAACGAGCCTTACTGCAAATTGGAGTCCTTGTAAGATGGTATCCCATAAGCAAATGGATCTTGAGTTTATAAATTTATAGTTTTCAAAGCCAATCAAATTGTATATAACTATTGAATTAAATTTATCATGCCCAATAGAATGAAAAATTAATTAACTGTGGTAGCTACTTTTGCTGCCAAGGTCTCCACTGTGCTAGCTGTAGTAACCAGTTATGATATGGTAATCCCAGAAACAGTAGCAGCGGTGGCCGCCACTGCTATAACAGCAACAACGGCGGCAGCAATGTCAAATTCTCTTCTGGAGCGTGTGGACATCCACTGGCATGGATACAACTCCAGGAACACGAACTGCCAAGGCCCATTTTTCTTGATCCCAGCACGACTTAAGCTGGCAGCTCTGCAAAAGAAAGGCCGGTCATCTTCCAGACATGGTGGTCAGCAGCCGCACTGCTAACTTTCTTAATCCCTGGTTTAGTGTGTAGTTTAGGCCAGGTGTGATAGTGCATGCCTAGAGGCAACCAAATCTCTCTTGAGTTCCAAGCCTAGCCTAGTCTATAGAGTGAGTTCCTAGACAGCCAGGGCTACACAAAGAACTGTCTCTCAAAAAACAGAGTAGTCAGACAGGGTAGAGTTGCCACTTGGGAAGCTGGGGTAGGATTACTGTGTCTGAGGCCAGTCTGAGCTAAGATTGAGACCTTGTCTCCAAGAAAGTTCAGTAATAACTTCAGGCCTTTCCTCTCCTGCCTTTTTGTGAGCAGTTGGTGTTAGCACATAGTGTGACTGCTTAAGTGCCTCTGGCACAGGGCAGCAGATAGGACAGGTCCCATGTGCTTAGCTCCGACTTTCCCCTGTGGCGGTCCCCTGTCTGAGGTCCTTATTTACTGACTGCCTTCCTTACAGATGATGCCGGAGGTCCGGGGAGCCTTGTTTGGTGCAAATGCCAATAGGAAGTTTCTGGACTGAGCTGGGGGAGATGCAGTTCATCGAGGCTATACTGGAGAAGCAGATATCTGTGTGGCTTCCTCTTTCTGTTCTAATCCTGGTAATCAGTGGATACCCTCTGCAGCTCATGCCCAGTGTCAACAGAAGGGCCAGGCCACTTGGTGTGGACAGGAGCCCAGCCCCAGCTCATCTGACAGCACAGCTGTGCACTGGTTCTGAGCAGGATGGGAGGGGTCAGATGATGCTGCGTGGCCCTCCCCAAGGACCCATTCCTTCTCTGCTCCTAGTCATCTAGAGTGAGTTGTGCATGCTGTCCCCTGCTCTTCGGGTGTAAAGTGCATGCTGGGCTCACGTTCCTCCAACAACACCAGCTTCACTGTTACTATTTGGGTCTGGTTTTCCTTATCTGTAAACGTGATTTAAAATCTAAGCCACAAATACTCTTTATTTATTAAAACAAAAGGTTTATGTGGATTTGGTTGTTGTTTTTTTTGTAAGGTACTGTGAGTTTGTGCTGGGCACAGTGACATGCATTGTGAGTTCTGCTGGGCACAGTCACACACACACACATCTGTGGTCCCAGCTGTGGTGAAAGGATTGTTGGGGGCCAGTCTGGGCAACAAAGAAGACCCTACCACTACCACCACCACCACCACAAGAACAAAAAAAGGAATCCAGAAAGGAACTATTTCTGCATCCCTATGGTATTAATATTTTACTAGACCTTCCTGCAGCCCTGTGACCACATGGACACCACACACATGTTCAGTATACTTGTCCCAGAGTCTGTACAGCCTTGTGTGTGCACATGTGCTAGGGGTAGGTCCCAGAGCCTCCCATGGTAAGCATAGACTGTACACTGAGCCACACACCCCCAAACTATGGTCCATGCGTCTAGTTTGGAACAGTTTTATTTGGACAAAGTGAAAAAAGCCCGAGTTTTGGAGGGAGGAGCTTTGTATTAGTAACGATCCTTCCATGGCCACCATCCATGCTTTCCCTTGTCCTTAGGTGAATGCACAGAGTTGTCTCTGGTGGGGTTTTGACTGTCTTACAGAGAGTGAAGCCATTCAGGTGGTTATTTGCATACACATCCGCCCGCCCCCAGGACCAGGTTTTAAGTTAGGTGGGACTACTGTAGTTTCTTTCCTGTGATGGGAATTGTCTCTGCTCCACTAGCCAATTGTCAGGAGTGGTTTGGCGGAGTTGTATTGACGAGTACATAACCGGAATAAAAGGTGGGCCCAAAGGTGGTGGGGAGGACGGACTGCCAGCAGCCCTGGGAACAATCGAGGTTGGCGGCTTGATTCAGGTTCCCCGTTCCCCTTGGGAACAAGGAAGTGGTGGTGGTGCCAGCAGAGAGCTGGACCCCCAGCAGGAACAGCGGAACAACTGGTGACGCGGACTCCTCATTCTGTCTTGTAATTATTGTGTACAGATTCTGCCTCTTAATGGGAGGCAAGGCAACCGTGACTTCCTTACAACTTTTCAGTTTGTGTTTTGGTTTTGTGGGAAGTTTCATTTTATGCAGTCTAGGCTGGCCTAGAACTTGGTTATTGGCAGCCGAGGACCTTCAGTTTCCTACCCTCCTGCCTCCACCTCCTTGGTGCTGAGATGACTGGCACATACCACCATGCTGGGGATGGAGGTGCTGGGGATGGAACCCAGGACTTGGGGCTTGCTATGCAAGCTCTCCACCAACTGAGCTGTGTCCCAGCCCTGGTTCCTGTTCTTAAAACAGGATTGTTAGCCGGGCAGTGGTGGCGCAGGCCTTTGATCCCAGCACTCGGGAGGCAGAGGGAGGGAAGTATGAGTTCGAGGCCAGCCAGGGCTATTAAACAGAAACCTTATCTTGAAATACCAAAACCAAAACCCCAGGATTGTTCTCTTAGGACCCGATGTCATCTGGTGGCATTATCCCACTTCCCCATAGCGGGCTGTGGAGGAAGGAACTGGGGCCCATGAGACTTGGAGTTCTTAATGTAACATGATTATAAAGTGATGAGTAGGAGACAAGACTCAAGAGTAGGAGCTGGAGAGATGGCTCGGTGGTTGTGAGTCCTGCTGCTTCCAGAGGACCTGGGTTCCTGCCCGGGTCTGGCAGCTCACAACCGCTTGTAACCTGAGCTTCAGGGCATCCAGCGCTCTCTTCTGGCTCCCAGGGTACGTACGTACGTACACACACACACACACACACACACACACACACACACACACACACACACACAAACTGAGGTTCAGTGTGAAAATGACCCCAGCTATTCACCACTAGGCAACAGTCAGCAGCAGGGCCCCAGAAACCACAGCTTGGTTCTTCAGGAGACATTCCTTGTCAGTCATCTGCTGTGCTGATTACAGGACAAGGATTTAGCCAGCTTTATTCTAGGTCATGTCCCACAAGCACCCACTAGGAGGGATCGGGGACCATACTTCAGGGTGGACATCTGGGGCAGGACAGCGACCCTGAGGTGGCCATACTGCTCGGTTGGGTTCATTTGACCATTAGTGATGCTCGGGGGCACATGGTTCAGGCCAGGTTTACTTCTAATGTCACAGTGTGAGTGCTGGAATTAACACTGTCCTACGCTGACGCAGCTGCCCCGCACCTGCCTACAGGAGGAAATGCTGGTGTAGACCAGCCCTTCCATCCTTACTGCGCCTGCGCCTGCCATAATACACGAGGCCGTGTCTATTGTTAAGCAGGTGGTTGGGGCTTCTGACCGCCCCTGGTAAGTAGTGAAATGGGTCATTTCTTCTGAGGTAGCACTACAAGTTAGATGATGTACAACAGGGTAGGCATCTTGGGATTCCGGCACTACCACCTGGTCTCAAGTGTAGGGCCAGAGATGGCAGCAAGGGAGGGCCACCGTAGATTACTCAAAGCACTTTAAGATGCGTTCTCCGATGCCAATGAAGTAGACGCCCTGGGCGATCCCAAAGAGGGGAGCTATGACCAGGGCCCGGCAGCCCGCGCCCTTCATGAAGGCGGCTGCTCCCTCCTGTGTCCAGAGTTTCCTGTGAAGAAAGGAGAGCCTTGGTAGTTGAAGGCTAAGAGCATGCTTTCCCATGACTTTTCTCCAAGCTTTACTTTGGTTTTGTTGTTGGATTTGGGGAGAAGGTCTCTAGATAGAGCCCAGGCTAGTCCTGGGCTGGCCTCAACCTCCTGAGTGTAGGATTATATAGGATTACAAATGAGCTACCACCTCCTACCTTCTTTAAGACAAGACCTCAAGGTAGTTTAGGTTGACCTGTGTTCCCTCCTTCACCTCTCAAGTGCTAGGCCAAAGACAGGCTATTAAACCCCACTTGGCCAAGTATTTGTGCACCTTCCTTGGTATTGAAGGCTGCAGGGTGAGAGGGACTTAGCAATTCCGAATTGTCAGGACTTTGATAAGAGGAATGGGGAGAAGCAAAGAGACTCATGGAAGAATCGGGAAACTCCCAATACTGCATCCTCTGAGAAGTGAGGGGCCAACATATTCCAAGGCAGCTCCAAGTCCTGCCGTGAACTGGGCCTTGAGCTGGCATGGCATCTGGGGTGCTGGGCTCACCTGGCACAGTCAGTGACCCCACTGTAGATGTCCTCGCCCGGGGCTTTCTTCAGGGTCTGGATTCGAGTCTTCAGAACTGGATGAAGCAGAAGTTAAAGCAAGTAACAAACAAAGACCAGGCCCTGTGAGGCCAGGTCTGTGGCTGTGAGGTGAGCAGCCTTCTCTGCCTCCCCTTTAGAGGGACAAGTGTTGCTGCTTGCCTGTAAGGGGGCTGTGTGTGGCCCCGAGCACACCGGGAGCATCTCCTCACAGTTTCCCCAGTGCCAGCTCTCAGACTGGGAACTACCAGGAAGGAAAAGCACTTCCTGTGGAAGGTGAGGCACTGTGGTGACAGGGAACAGTGAGGACATCTAGCCACCTTCTGTGAGGGCCTCTGGGGAGTTCAGCCTTAGCCGAAATGCCGAGGGGGTTGGGGACTGGGGCTGTTTGACCTGCTGCTAGTGCAAGCTCCGTCTGTGCTTAGACTGTGTGAGCCTGATCCGGAAAGCAGGATGACCTGAAACCCCCAACCCCAGCCCTCTCCACACCTACCGTCCAAAGGGGTGACAGCTACGGCGGCCACAGAACCTGCTGCGCAGCCCGCCACGAAAGAGTGTGTGAAGGGAGCCTTGCCGGTGAGCTCGCAGACCCCAAGCTGGTTCAGGTTCGCAAACAAGGGGAAGTAGATGACCGAGAAGGGAATGTCCCTGTGGAAGGGAAGGACGACCCTCTGGGTGCCCCTCAGCAGCCTCCCCAGGAGCCCTGGGGCGCAGCAGATGGGAGAAACGCCCCCATTTGGCAGAGAGGACGTTCTTCCCGTGTCCTGCTCCCCCCCCCACCACACACCTCACCTGTAACCCGCAGAGGAACCACCAGGAGGGAGAGCAGTTTGGTAAGATGAGTAAGGCAGGCAGGTCCCTAGATAAGACTTCGGGGCCTGGGGCCGGGCTTGGGAAGAGGGCTCACCTGAGGAGAGTAGCACCCAGGCCCCTGTAGAGACCAGCCAGGCCCTGAGTGCGGAGCAGCTCCCGGGCAATGAGGATGGCCGATGGGCGCCTGCGGGTGGAAGCCGAGCCGGTGCTGTAGGGCCGGGAGGTGGGCGCAGCCGAGGCAGAGCCCTGATGACCGACAGCTGGGGAGGAAAGGCAGCATGTCTGCACCAAGCCCAGCCCGTACCCAAGGGGTTCTCAGGGGTGGACCTCTCCCAGTCCTCCCAGCCTGATTAAAACCCTTGGATGGTCCGCCATTTCCAGCTCTTCGAGCCTTTTCAGCTAGTTGCATCCTGCTAGCACTTTGAGACAGAAACACCGTGTATATCCTGCTTAATGTTAAACGGCACCAGCAAATGCTTTTGTCTAAAATCACCTCCTCAGTCTTCCAGGGTTGCGTCCTCCCTTACTCCAAGATCAAGGGCACACGCCCTTTATCACCTCCTCCGACTCACAGAATGCAGTGTTACACCATTTTAGTGTCATATTCAATGCCTATGACTTGGTGAACTGAAGCTAGGCTTGTCTGTTCACTTGGAGGGCTGAGGCTAGAGGATTACTGCTAGTTAAAGAAAAAACATGGGGCATGGTGGCACATAGCTTTAATCCCAGCACTCAGGAGGCAGAGGCAGGTGGATTTCTGTGACTTTGAGGCCAGCCTGGTTTACATAGTCCCAGGCCAGTCTGGGCTACCTAGTGAGACCCTGCCTATAAAGAGTCAAGAAATAATAAGAACAACAGACAAACATCTAGTGATTGAGATGGAATTATTTTCCCTGAGCTTTTAAATTGCAGGCGAATTGAGGTATAGGAGAGTTCCCCCAGCTATCTTGCAAGTTTAAGGCCAGCCTGGGTTACAAGAGACTGTTTAAAAAAAAAATAATAATTCATGTAAAGGTGAATAAGCCCAGTGTATTGGTGCATGTCTGTAGTCCTGACATTTGGGAAGCTGAGGCATGAGGATTGTGACTTTGACATCAGCCAACTTGGGCTGCATCAAGGCCATCTTACTGGATGGATGGATGGATGGACGGATGGATGGATGGACGCATGGACTGGCAGATGGACAGATATGGTTACTGATTGATTGATAATAGATATGGTAGAACTTGTGGGTCCCACTAATGACCATAGAATTTAATGTACTGAGAGTGTGTATTTATTTTAGAAGTCAGTGTTTGCTGGACATAGTATTATGGACCTGTAGACCTGATTAGTCAAGAGCCTGAGGCAAGAGTTCAAGGTCAGTTTGGCAGTATGGTGAAACCTGGTCTTGAGACAAAGCCGGCTAGGAAACAGCTTGATGGTAGAGGGCTTGCCGGAGGTCATGAGACCCTGGGTTTGACCCCAGCACCACAAAGACCAAACGCAACAAGAAGTGCTTAGGTTCTTCGCTGAGGTTACTAAGTTCTTGCTCAGAGGAAATAATTCCAACTCACATCCCGGCCTTCCTTAGCATCCGAAGGCAGCAATGGAGGCAGTTATCTTATCGATTGTCTCATTTCTTTCTGCTTTTCTTTGGAGGGGACCTGGGGTGTGGCTCAGGGCTTGACTGGCATGTGTGCTGCTAAGGTTCAATATCCAGGTCTGGGCAAGGGCTGTGGGGTGAGGAGAGAGAAGGAAAGGCTCAGATGGAAAACTGGACTCCTGCCTACCCAGCAGTTTTTAGACAGAACCCGAGGGAAGCAGCCACGGGGCCATGTGTGTACATGTGGTTCTTTTAGCCAAGGCTGAGCTCCCCTTCAGCCCGGGGATTACAGACAAGCCCACCACTCTGGCTCTTTTCTCTGCTGTTGCTCTTAGTGTGGATGGTTAGTTTGGGGTTTTGTTTTTTGAGACAGGGTCTCACTCTGTAGCCTTGGCTGGCTTGGAACTCACGGAGATCCACCTGTCTCTGCCTCCTGAGTGCTGGGATCAAAGGCATGCGCCACCACCGCCCGGCTTCGTGCTAGAATTTCTTGAAAAGGTGACAAGGCAGGAGCTTCCTCTTGGCAGACAGGAACACATGGGCTTCCTGAAGCTGCTGAAATAACTCTATCTGGAACTCGGCTGGACTCCAGCACAAGTGTGCACAGCAGAGCCGAGGGCAGTGGTGTTGAGTGTGTTACACATTAGCTTATTTAACCAGACACTGACTGACCCCTGCCAAGAGGCCCCGTTTCTTCCTCAGGCTCTCACTGTATGTGTGCCATGGTCAGCATTCCGATTTGTTTGTCTTTCCACATTTGAATTTTTGCTTTTGTTTGTTTCTCAAGACAGGGTTTCTCTGGCCTCGAACTTATAGAGATCCGCCTGCCTCTGCCTCCATAGTGCTGGGATTAAAGGTGTGCACCACCACTGCAAGGCCCATAGTTGGAAAAAAAATGTTTACTAGTTTATGTGTATGTGTTTTGCCTGCATGTATGTCTGTGCACCACATGTGTGCTGTGCCCAAGGAGGCCAGAAGATGGCATTGGATCCCCTGGAACTGGAGATGGTTGTGAGGTGCCATGTGTGTGCTGGAATTGAACCCCAGTTCTCTGGAAGGACAGCAAGTGCTCTTAACTACTGAGCCATCTCCAGCCCCCTAAGCCCCAGTTTAAAAAATCTTCAGGAATCCAACCTGAGTATCAAGGCATCAGCATGGAGGTGTGAGATGAGCTTCCGCCTTCTAGAACCCAGGCTCTTGTTGCTGCTCCTTGGTCTGGAGCTGAGAGGGTTAAAAACATGTCTGTTGACCTAGAAGCTAAGCGTGCGTGAGGCTGGTGGTGGGAGTGTGCGGTGCAGTGTACCCTGTGCTGAACCCAGCCTTGCTGGTGCCATGAGTTGGGATGTGCCTCACCTAAGCGGCCAGCATCCTGCAGCTGAATCTTGAGCATTTCCATGGGACAGGTAACCACCACCTGGCATATTCCAGCCCCACACCCGGCCAGCATCTCCATCTTCAGGTTCCGCTGTGCCCTGTGGGACCAGAAGTAAGGTCCTTAGTCTCAGGCCGGCCCTGCCTCACTGTGCCCATCCACCTTCTTTGATAGTTGGAACTGTTTTGTTGTTTTTAAGACAGAGTTTCTCTATGTAACCCTGGCTGTCCTGGAACTTGCTCTGTAGAACAGGCTGGCCTCGAACTCACAGAGATCCTCCTGCCTCTGCCTCCTGAGTGCTGGGATTAAAGGCGTGTGCCACCGTGCCTAGCTCTCCTTTGTGTTTTTTGAAACTGTGTGTAAAGCAAGCTGTCCTCAGTTTTGCTGCAGCTCCCCTGCGGCTGCCGCCTACCTCCTGGAAGTACAGACCATGCACTGAGCATGCTTGAAGCTAGATTTCCAGCAGAGGCTCGAGGGAGGCAGCCTGTACACCTGAGATGAAATCAGAAACTACAAAACACCAGTGTCCAGTCAGGTTCTTGTTCCAGCCTCTCAAGTACCGTCCCTAGGACAAGTGGGGACACAGAAGACGCGGGGGGTGGGGGGGGGGGTGGGGGGTTTGTTGGGGGTGAATGTCTAAAAATCTGTTAGCTTGTTGGGTGTGGCCACTCAAGGCTACAATTTTGAGCACTCAGGAGGTAGAGGCTGGAGGATCTCTGTAAGTTCCAGGCCACACAGAGCTAAATAGGGAGACTCTGTCTCAAAAGTAAAAACAAACAAACAAAAAATGAAAAACAAAACAAAAAAATGTAGCAGCTAGTTGCTAAATACATCGGTATATATTCTGTGTGTTCTGTATTTTCTCTTGAATATACTGTCTCTGAATATACAGTGAAGGGCTCTATGGTGCCATCACCAGGCCTTACCCATCTTGAATGAGCAGCTGCCGTAAGAAGTCATTGGCTGCCAGCTTGATTGCCTTCTCTGGCGTGACCAGGGTAAGGTTTACCGCAGCGCCTGGAGGTGAGACATGAAGACGGGAGCAATGGCTGCAGCAGAAGTGACCAGTCCTGGAGTCTGCCCCTGACAGGCAGAGCTCGGGGCTGAACAGGTCTGCAGAGGCCACGCAAGGCAACACAGTCCGTCTTACAGGTACCGTTTTCATTTCCTCTCCCCAACACGTTTTCCTTTTATCTGTAATCTATTCAGTATTATCGTGTGTGGGCATGCACATGCCCCAGCACACATGTGGAGGTCAGAGGACAACTCTGGAGTCAGTTCCCTCCTTCCACCTTTACATGGTTCTGGAATCAAGGTCAGGTTGCCAGGCCTGTGTGCAATCACCTCAGCGGTTGGGATACCTGCCAGACCCCTCTTAATTTTGGAGTCAGGGGCCTTGCACAGCCCAGGATGGCATGGAAGTCACAATCCTCCTGCTTCCTGAGCACAAGCATGACAGGTATGCCACCGTGAAGCATGTTGTCCTCCCATGCAACAGGCAAGCTGCGGGCACTCTGGAAATTTTGAGACAGGGTCTCACTACACAGCCCTGGCTGACCTTGAACTCACAGAGACCCACCTGTCTCTGCCTCCTGAGTGCTGGGATTAAACGTGTGGACTACCACACCTGCCTGGTTTGGTTTGTTGGTGTTATTTATTTTCTTTTTTCAGATTTTACTTTGTAGAAGATTATTTTGTGTCTGTAAGTGCTTGCCTGCATGTGTGTGCACCCATGCATGTCTGGTACCTGCAAGTTAAGAAGACACACCTGCCGGGGCGGTGGTGGTGCACGCCTTTAATCCCAGCACTCGGGAGGCAGAGGCAGGCGGATCTCTGTGAGTTCGAGGCCAGCCTGGGCTACAGAGTGAGTTCCAGGAAAGGCGCAAAGCTACACAGAGAAACCCTGTCTCGAAAAACAAAAACAAAAACAAAAAAAAAAAAAAAAAAAGAAGACACACCTGATTCTTTGGAATTAGAATTACAAGTGGCTGTGAGCTGCCCTGCAGGTGCTGGGAATTAAACCCAGGACCTCTGGAAAGACACCCAGTGCTCTTAACTGTTGAGCTATCTTTCCGACCCCCAAATTTTTATTTTATTTGCATGGTCTTTGTGTGTGTGTCTGTGTGTGTGCTGTGTCTGCGTGTGTGTGTGTGTATGTCTGTGTGAGTGTGTGTGTGTGTGTGTGTGTGTGTGTGTGTGTGTGTGTGTGTGTGTGTGTGTGTGTGTGTGTAGTGCCTATAGAGAGGACCAAAGATGATCCTCCTGGAACTGAAATTACAGGTGGTGTGAACTACCAAATGTGGGTCCTGGGAACCAAACTCAGGTCCTCTGGGAGAGCAATGCTTGCTCTTTCTCTTCCTTCCTTCCTTTCTGTTTCTTTTTTTGAGACAGGGTTTCTCTATGTAGACCAGGCTGGCCTCGAACTAACAGAGATCCGCCTGCCTCTGCCTCCTGAGTGCTGGGATCAAAGGCGTGTGCCAGCAAAGCCTGGATGCAATGTTGCTCTTAATGGCTGAGCCACTCTCCAGTCCCATTCTCCGCCTTAAACTCCTGTTTTCTTTCTGGGTGCATGTGCCCCATTACCAAGAAGTCATCTATGTGTGTTTTGTTGTTGTTTCTCATTTTGGTTTGTTTGAGACAGGATCACATGTAGCCTAGGACAGCTGGACCTGAACTCCCTTTGTGACTGGGGATGATTTCGAACTCTTGATCCTCCTGGCTCCATCTCTCAAACGCTGGGATCACAGGTGTATGCAACCACACCTGGCTAAGAAGTCACCACATTCTATCTTGCTGGTATCTTCCACCTCTGATGGTGAATAAGCAGCCTGGGGAATTGGGCAGCTCTCCCTTTTTATGGGAACTGGGTGATCCACACACATTTGTCCTTGTTCTCTGGGGTCCCAGCATATCAGTGCTTTCCCAGCACAGACCTATGACCCACATTCCAAGGTCTCATTATGGATGTGGAAGCTGCAGACAGCAGCATGGGGTCATGTGGGGCTGAGCTCACGGCTCTGTGGGTCATTCTATGTCAGAGAGTAAGAGGGGAGGGAGGCAGGGGAAGGCTGGGGGCATTGCTTTAATCACAGCACAAGAGAGCACCTCCAAGGAAGCCCTAGCTAGAAGCAGCTGTCTCCACATTGAAGACTCTTGAAAGCCGGGGTAGTCCAGAGACACCTAGTATTCCAGGCCCCAACCCAGCAGCTCCCTGTGTGGAATGAACACCATACCACTGCACTACAAGCTCACAAACAGTGGGTTGCATGCACCATCACGTCACCCTTCATAGAGGAGCCTGGACTCCTTCGGGAGTTCAGAAGCCCACCTCGGTACATGCCCAAGAAGCCCTCGGCACGCGCCGTCTTCATCAGGCAATCTGTCCTAGAAGCAGAGGCCAGAAAGGAAGTTAGTAGTGACCAAATGTACCTCTTCCCCTTCCTGGGCGCACCTCAGTTGGCCTTGCCTCCCAGCTCCCTCCCTGACGAAGCAAAGGAAACCTCAGACCCTTCCTGGGGCCCTCCCGGCCTTCACTTCTCTCACCAATACCTACATTCCCTTATACACAGCTTTCCCCTGCTGGTTCTGCAGTCGGGTCTTGGCAAGGTCAATGGGAAACACACAGGTCACCCCCACGAGTCCTGCCACACCTCCGTTGATGAGTTTTGCAGCGATGCTAGGCCATGGGGAGGAGAGGAAGAGACGTGGTGTGAGAGAGGACACTTGGCAACAGCCAGCTTCAGTAGGGGACATGAGAGCAGGCCCAGGCAGAGAAAGTCAGGAGTGGCCGCTACGGGGCTTCCAGCTATAGGTCAGTCCCTGTCCCCTCCCTCCACACAGGCTAGGAACCTCTTTCCAGGAAGCCCATGTTGACCAGCCTGATCGCCTAGCGTTGACACAGTGAAGGGTTCACCAAGCTAAGACGCTGCAGGCCTGCTGGGCAGGGGGCCCACCTGGGAGTTGGCAGGCCTTAGCTTGGCCTTCAAAGATACCCTCCAGCCTCTCTCTCACCCTCGGAGGCCTGAGAGAAAGTTTTCAAACAACCTCCAACCTCCTTTCCTGTTGAAGGTCAGGAGAAGGTGGTGCAGATGAACCCTGGCTGGGCAGTTGACTTGGGCAAGTTGCCTCAGTTCTATGAACCTCCATTTCCCTCGCCTAAGGGACTGTATAAGGACTAAACAAATGAACACCAGGTAAATGACAGCTGTTGTTAAGGACAAGACACCCTCCAGGCTGGAGAGATGGCTCCTCAGTTAAGAGCACTTGTTGCTTTTGCAGAGGGCCCAGGTTCGATTCCCAGCACCCACATGGCAGCTCACAACCATTGTAACTCCAATTCCAAGGGATCTGACACCCTCTTCTGACCTCTGTAGGCATCAGGCATGCACATAAATTATGCAGATAAAACAGTCGCATAAAATAAACCTAAAAAAAAATTTTTTTTTAATGGGTAAGATACCCTGTCTCTAACCATGGGTGCTTCTTCTTAGCAAGAGATAACTAGGATTAACAAGCAGTATGCTATCTGTCTTCTGTAAACGCATGCTTCAGGCAACACGGCTCCTCTTCCTGCCTAAAGATACGAGTCTGGGAATAGAAAACAAAGCTTTCTCAGACTCCTTGGAAAACAGTCAAATGTTCTTATCTTGCAGGCCATGGGCAGCCATGGGGACGACACTTGTGGGAGAGCAGCTGAACACAGGTCACAGTAGGTTTCTTCACAAAGGGACTAAGTAAGCAAGAAACTGGTAACGAAGAGGGCCGTGGCTGAAACTTCCCTGAAGAGATGTGTTAAAACAATTGAAAACGTTACTACAGGGGAGGGAGTATAAAGAGGATCTCATGTAGCCCAGGCTAGCCTCAATCTTACTATGTAGTCAAGGCTGGCCTTAAACCTAATCCTTGAGCCTCTACCTCCTAGAGGTGGGAAATAGGCATGCACCATCATGCCCAGCTTGCAAACTGTATTTTAACAATACTGTGTGTGTGTGTGTGTGTGTGTGTCTGCTTGTGTATTTGGGGAAATATGTATTTGGGGCAACAGGTCTCATTTTCTCTTCCCAATCATTCCCTCTGCAGTTCTCCTCATCTAGAGCTGGCACTGACCAGATGGTACCATTGCCACCCTTCCTCAACCAGTGCCCCCGAGGGCCTACCTCAGGTCCTGGCTGGACATCCTGCCGGCGATCAACCACTGGCAGCTCCCAAGACTCAGGCTGTGGCGTCCTCACAGGCAGCTGCTGTTGAGGCCAGTGGAGAGGGAAAAAGCGTGTCTGTGTCCTCCATAGAGCTGACGGGACACGGGATTCCTCAGGCCCCAGCACGTTCCACGTCCCCCCTTCCTAGACCTTTTGGAAATGTGCATTCAGACAGAATCCTTAACTGTTTGGACTTTGATCAGAAAATATAGGGAGGGGGTGAGAAAGGAGAAGCCCAAATGAAGAGGCCATCCCAAAACACTTTTGGGGAGTTCTGGGAGTAGTGGAGACATGGGCTATGAAGAAATTTTACCAGGAGTCCCTCTCACAGTAGACAAGGACTGCAATACTTGAGATGGTCTCCAGTAACTTTTTGTTTTGTTTTTTTCAAGACAGGGTGTCTCTGTGTAACAGCTCTGACTGTCCTGAAACTGGATCTTTAGACCAGGCTGGCCTCAAACTCACAGAAATCCACCTGTCTCTGCCTCCAGAGTGCTGGGATTAAAGGTGTGCACCACCACCAAGCAACTGTCACATTTTTTTTAACATGAGGAATAAGGGGGCATGAGACAGGGCCTTTCTATAGAACCCACACTGAGCTCAGACTCCCTCTGCAGATGAAGATGGTTTTGATCCCCCTGCCTCCATCCAAGTGCTGAGATTGTAGGTGTTGGCCATCCTGCCTGGCACATGGTTCTTAGCTGTGCTTTCTAAAGGTTCATATGAAACCAACTTGCATTGTGTCCTTGGATTTACTGAGTTACTTATAGTTTGTTTTGTTTTTCATGACAGGGTTTCTCTATGTATCCTTGGCTGTCCTGGAACTAACTCTGTAGACCAGGCTGGGCTCAAACTCACAGAGATCCACCTGCCTCTGCCTCCTGAGTGCTGGGATTAAAGGCGTGTGCCACTACTGTTGCTCTGTTGTTGTTTTTAAAGGTTTATTTATTATCTATACAGCATTCTGTCTGCATGGATGCCTGCAGGCCAGAAAAGGGCACCAGATCTCATTACAGATGGTTGTGAGCCACCATGTAGTTGCTGGGAATTGAACTCAGGACCTCTGGAAGAACAGCCAGTGCTCTTAACCACTGAGCCATCTCTCCAGCCCCTGTTGCTCTGTTTTTGTTTTTTGTTGTTGTTGTTGTTTGTTTTTTTGAGACAAAGTCTTTCTTGTAGCCCTGGCTGTCCTGGAATTCACTCTGTAGACCAGGTTGACCTGAAACTCACAGAGATCCACCTGCCTTTGCCTCCTGAGTGCTGAGATCACAGGTGTATGCCTCCATGACTGGTGTTACATTTATGATTGTGACATAAGGAAAACATCAAGACCATAGTCTAGAAATGGAAACTATAAAAATTGGAGGCTGAGTTGTCAGTGGTGTTGCACGCCTTTAATCCAGCACTTGGGAGGCAGAGACAGGTGAATCTCAGTGAGTTCCAGGCCAGCCTAGTCTACAAAGTGAGTTCCAGGACAGGCAGGACTGTTTCACAGAGAAACCCTGTCTCAAAAAAAAAAAAAAAAAAGAGGCTGAGACAGAGGATCCAAGTTCCAGGCTGTCCTCTGTTACAAAGTACTACAGAGAAAGACTGGTCCTAAGGTGTGTGTGTGTGTGTGTGTGTGTGTGTGTGTGTGTGTCTTCAGCTACATAACCAAGTTCAAGGTCAGCCTGAGATACATAAAATCCTGTCTAAAGGAAACAAGAACGAACAAGAAGGGCCGCACCTCTGAGCATCATCCTGCCTCCCGCCTGGTGGGAAAGTGCCAGGAAAGCTCATCCAGGCTGGCCTGGGAGCTGCCTTAGTACAAGCTGCTTTGGGGTCCCCTCTTCCATGGTTCTGGCTTTTCCTGAGGCTGCCAAGCAAGTATTAGTTATCTCTAGGTCTTTTCATTTTGGGGAAGGAGAGAGAGGAAGAGAAGGAGGAAAGTGACTCATAGACATTAATCACTTCAATTTTAAAAAAAAAAAATATTGAGGAGGCTGGAGAGATGGCTGGGTGGTTAGGAACACTTGCTCTTCCAGAGGATCCAGGTTCGATTCTCGGCATCCAGGTGGCCGATAACAACCATCTGTAGCTCCAGCTTTAGGAGGCTGGATGCAGTCTGCAGGCACACAGGTACCATGTGTGGTAGAATATTGTTTTAAGGTGTGCTACATTTGTTCATATTGCATTTGTTTAACTCTGTGAAGCTGTGTTACTGTGTCTGTCTAAAACACCTGAATGTCTAATAAAGAGCTGAACAGCCAATAGTGAGGCAGGAGAGAGAAATAGGTGGGGCAGGTGGGCAGAGAGGATAAATAGAAGGAGAAATCTGACACGGATGAAGAGCTGGAGGAGGAGGCATCAAGGGCCAGCCACCAGCCACCCAGCCAGCCACGGAGTAAGAAACAAAGAAAGGTATACAAGAATAGAGATAAAAGCCCAGAGGCCAAAGATAGATGGGATAATTTAAGGAAAGCTGGCTGGAAACAAGTCAAGCTAAGGCTGGGCATTTATAATTAAGAATAAGCTTTCAGCCAGACAGTGGTGGCACACGCCTTTAATCCCAGCACTCGGGAGGCAGAGCCAGGCGAATCTCTGTTGAGTTCGAGGCCAGCCTGGTCTACAGAGCGAGTTCCAGGACAGGTACCAAAACTACACAGAGAAACCCTGTCTCGAAAAACCAAAAAAAAAAAAAAAGCTTTCATGTGTGATTTATTTGGGAGCTGGGTGGTGGGTCCTCCCCCACAAGTCAAAGGACCAAAAAACCAACACCATCCATGTGGTGCACATATATACATACATGTATGCAAAATACCACAACCAGTTTTGGGACATAATACTGGGGAGAAATGACTAAGGTCTTATCTCTTGGGGACCTAAATTCTAGAAGCCTAGAAGCGACAGATAATCCACAGGAAAGCCTGAGGTTCCTAAAGAGTAAGAAACACGGCGCCTCATACCTATCCTCCCAGCACCTGGAAGCCGAGGCGGGAGGGTCTGCGTGCAAGGGCCGCCAGAAGATGAGCGTCGGTAAACTGTCTGCCTAGTAAGCACAAGCACCAGCCCTGGGGGCAGAGACACGTGCATCCCTGAAGCTGTTGGTCAGCCAGCCTAGCCTAATCTATACACTCCAGGTTCAGTGAGACACTGTCCCCAAAATAAAAGTGGAGCGTGGTGGAGGAAGTCTTCTGGCTGTGAACTCAGCCCACCACCTCCGCCATACGTGAAAGCGGGGTGGGGTGGGGTGGACTTTGAAGGGAAAAGCTGACGACAGTGTCAGTGAGGTCAGAGCAGGGTTTCACCAGGCAGCCATGCCGGTGTGAGGCTCGGGAAGAGCCCACAGGGGGGGATCTGGCTCCTTTAGCTTTGGGCCAGGGCCCCGCATCCCTCCCCAGCACTGCCAGACACGACTCTGCCAGCTGACTAGTGAGCTGAAGGGGCAGCTGGACCGGGAAAGCAGTTAGAAACAGGCAGGGACGCTGAGAGGCATGATGTGCTCAGGATGGAAGCCAATCAGAAGACCACAGCGTAAGGCTTCGTAACTCAGCAAGAGACGGGACAGTCCCCAGAGCACAAACTACCTGGGGGGCCAGAGCTCAGAGAAAGAGGGCAGAGTCGGGGAACACTGGAGCTGGTGGTGGGAGAAGCTGGGGGGCCTGGCAGTGTAGAAATTGCTCTGTTGGCCAAACAGAAAGGAGGACCACAGGAAAGACGAGAAACAGCCACACTTGGAGGGATCCAATGGAGCCGTTCCTGTTTCAGCAGCGTTCCTGTGGCAGGCTTTTATTTTGCTGTTTGTCTGATACTAGGGACGGAACTCTGGGCCTGGGCCTTGTTCTACCAAATGAGCCCTATTTTACATTTTTGTTTTGTTTTCTGAGACAGGGTTTCTCTATGTAACAGCCCTGGCTGTCCTGGAACTGCTCTGTAGACCAGGATGGCCTTGAACTCACAGAGATCCGCTTGCCTCTGCCTCCCGAGTGCTGGGACCGGATGTGTCACCACCACCTGACATCTATTTTACTTTCTGAGACAGGATCTTGCGAAGTCTGCCAGGCTGGCCTGGAACTCACTTCACTACACAGTCTAGACTGGCCTCCAACTTGTAATAATAATCTTCCTGCTTCAGCCTCCCCTCTGATTGGGATTGCAGGCCTCAATGATACTAATCCTTTCTTCCAGCCCATACCCAAATACCAGCTATATTCTTGTCCTTGGATCCTGAGACATTCAATTTACCTCACTGCATATCTTCCCAGAATTTCAGTTAAAAATTTACTATTGTAAACATACACATTGTGTATGCTCTATTTATGGTGTGTATGTGCGCCACAGCACACGTGTGTGGACAACCCTCAGGAGTTGGTTCTCACCTTTCACTATGTGAGGCTATAGAGCTTGTATAGCATTTTCTTTTAACCGTTGAGCTATCCTACCAGACCACAGAATTGCTGGTTTTATTTTATTTATTTTGGTTTTTCAAGACAGGGTTTCTCTGTGTTTCGTCCTGGAACTCCGTGTAGACCCAGCTGGCCTCGAACTCAAAGATCCATCTGCCTCTGCTGGGATTAAAGGCATGTGCTGGACTTTTTATTTTTGAGACAGTCTCACACTGTAGCCCAAGCTAGCCTCCAACTGGTGGCAATCCTCCTTCAGCTCCTGAGTTCTGGGATTATAGGCTGTGTGACAACTGGTTTTATGCAGGCCTGAGAATTGAACCCAGAGTTTAAGGGTTGTTAGGAAAGCATTATTATTAACTGAGTTACATTCCCAGCCCACTTCTTTTCTTATTTTTAACTATTGTGTGTCTGCACATGTGGGTCTAGGTTCCTGTGGAGGCCAGAAGTGGGCATTGGAGTCCTAAAGCTGAATTGATGAGGTTGTGAGCCACCCGTTAGGTAAGTAAAGTGAACTTTTAACCACAGAACTATGTCTCAGCTCCCTAGACTGCATATACATATATACATATGTGTGTGTATACATACACATATCCATACACATACATGTATATAGCTATAAAACACCCATATACATAAACATGCATATATACATACGTGTGTGTGTGTGTGTGTGTGTGTGTGTGTGTGTGTGTGTGTGTGTGTGCTTATGTATGTGAGTGTCTTGCCCACGTTTGTCTTTGTACTGCATATCTGGTGCCAGAAGAGGGTGTTAGATTCTCTGAGACTGGATTTACAATTGTAAGCTGCCATGAGTGCTGGGAATTGAACCTGGATCCTCTGGAGGGGCAGCCAGTACTTTTAACTGATGAGCCATCTCTCCAATCAAAAGTTACTGAAATTCAGCAATGGGACAAGGAATTTGCAACTCAGCCTCGACTCCCATCCTGTCTGGGTGAAGGCAGGTCCAGGCTGCAGAGTCCTCATCCTGGTCAGGGTCCTGTCCCTGCCATCTCTTAAAGCTCAAACACTGTGCTTTTCTAGATGCCAGAATCTTGGGACACTTGGTGGCAAAATGTCATGTTAGCTGGGCAGTGGTGGTGCACACCTTTAATCCCAGCACTGGGGAGGCAGAGCAGGCAGGTCTCTGTGAGTTCGAGGCCAGCCTGGTCTGCAGAGTGAGTTCCGGGACAGCCAGGTCTACACAGAGAAACCCTGTTTCAAAGGGGGAAAAAAAGATCATGATATTAAAGGTCAGAAGTTCTTTGAGATGTAAATAAACTGCTTTGAAAAAAAACTCCCAAGTCGCTGCTTAGGAAGTGCAGAATCTAATCTTTCTCTATTAAGTCAAAGCAAGGGAAATAGACATGTGGTAGCCCTTTGGGTTACATTCCCTGTTTCTAGAGCAAAATTAGATTAGTCTGAAATCAGTGCTCCTTGGCAGTGAGAACGGGCACATTTGAGGTAAGTCCGGGAACAAAGGGACATCCTGAGCCTGGGCACTCACAATGTTGCTCTGCAGTATTTGCTGGTGGGTGTTTTTTGTAGCCCCGGGTTCCCTTTAGCAAACTCAGGTATTCAACCACCTGATGTGGGTGCTAGGAACCAAGCCCAGGTGCTTTCCAAAAGCAACAAGGCTCCCTTCTGTCCCGTGGGGGAAAAAAGTTTTTGTTTTTTTAAATTTAGCCAGCCACGGTTTTAGAGGAATCTTATCAGGAAAATCCTAAACTTGGAAGAGGCCCAGACTGCCCGGTCCTTCAGTATGTCTGTAGTATTGAATGTCTGTAGTATTGACAGGCAACCGGGTTGTAGCTTAAAGATCCCTTTCCCTTCAGGGAATATAGATTTTACTGGTGCCAACACTTTGAAAGGCCAGGGCTGGCAGTGTGGCTCAGTGGGAGTGCGATGACCTCATGGGCGGGAGGTTTTACATGGGGGCCTGAGCACTGAGGGGAAGATTCTGTAATCTGGAGCAGTGTTTGCCTCATTCCTGGGCAATGTCCCAGACTCCTTCTAATGAAGGACTTGTTAACCAGTGTCTTTAATAAAGGTGTAGCACTCTTCAGATCCCATTTTACAGATAGCTGTGTAGTAAGTGTTGTGAAGAGCCAGAGTTGAGGAAGGGCGCCGTGGGCCTGTGAAGGAGCAGGGAGCAAAGGCAGCTGGCAGAGTGGGGCTGGCGGCTGGCTCCCTGGTCCTGGCTGGTCTGGTTCACCACTGTGGGAGTAAGTCTGCAAAGGGTCAGCAGACGTGGAGAACTGTGGCAGCCAGGCAGAGCACTGCAAGTGCCCCAGAACCACTTTTGTGACCGTGGAGGTGGTGGAAGGGAAACACAGTGGCCTAAGGCTGATCTCTCTGGATGAACTGGACAGGGTTAGGAGAGGACTTCATGGCAATGTGCTGCGGTGCAGAGACTGGGGTGGCAGAGGCAGGAAGAACGAGGGCTGAGAAAAGTTCTAAAGCGTGGTGGCCACCCAGGCTGACCTGAGCGGCCTGGGGGTGAAGAGGGCAGCAGGAGGCGTTTTGGGGTTCACCTCCTGCACCACTGCAGGCCAGGGGAAGGACATCAGTACTCCTTCCATGGAGGTGCCCTTCGGTGGCCTCTCAGATGCCCAGCTCTCTGGATCACCTCTGTCACCTGCTGCCATCTGGTGAAGAAAGGGGCTGAAGATGTCTGAGCCAGAGCCAGGAGCAAAAGGTCTGAGCAGAGAGCTGTTTTGCAGCCTCTCCATCACCAAAGTCAACCCCATCAGCTACCATCCCCTCCATTTCTCTGAAAGAGCTGCTTGATAAATCTAAAGGAGGGCTTTTAAGACAGGGTTTCACTGTGCAGACCAGGCTGGCCTCAAACTGAACCCATTTCGGCCTGTCTTTGCCTTCTGAGTGCAGGGATACTTTCACTATCCATTTTTATAATGCTAAGCAATTAAAAAAAAGTAAACTCAGGAACACCATTTTCCCCTCATGGAATTTAGAGCCTTGCACATGTAGGGAAGTGCTCTCCCGCTGAGATCGACCCACAGCTCTTAAATCAGGGTCTTGTCGTTACCCAGACTGGCCTTGAACTTAATCAGTGGCCTATGCAGGCAGACCTGTATGTACTAGGCATTGCCTCAGCCTCCCAGCTAGGATTACAGTCCTATGTCACCAAGTGCTGCTTGGAAGGTGTGAAAGGAATGAGGCCGTCCAGAGTCACAGGATCGGGGGCGCCAGGCCCCAACTACAGCCCCAGCCTCTTGGCAGTCTTCATTGTTTCAAGATCAAGTTTAAAAGAAAAGAAGGTGGCTTACGCTTCATCTTTAAAGTTTTTATACAATGTGTGTGAGGGGCTAAGAGATTGGCTCAGTGGTTAAGAAGGATGGTTGAGGACCCAGGTTCGAAACCCAGCATTCACACAGTGTCTCACTACCACCTGTAATGCAAGGTCTAGGGGGATCTGATGCCCTTTTCTGGCACCAGGCATGCATGTGTTACACAGACATACATGCAGGCGAAACATCCATACACACACATGGTTTTTGGACAGTGAGTCTGATGTGTACAGGGAGGTCAGAGGACAGATTGTAAGGACTGGTTGTCTCCTTCCACTGTGGGTTCGACTGAACCCAGGTTTGTGCAGCAAACACCTTTACTGGCTGAGCCATCCCTCCAGCCTTGCTTTATCTTGCGATTCAATTCTGTTTCTGCACTAACTTGTTGCTATTGTAAAATTTCAAAGGTACAGTTCCAGGATGGACCAGGAGAAAACCAGGTCCTTCATTATTGGTAGACAAACCCATCCGGGGCGTGGCAGATGGCTCAGCAGGTCAGGGTGCCAAGTCAGATAACTTTCATGGGATCTACACCATGGGATCTACAAGGTGGAAGAACAAAGCCCTGTTCCAAGTGTCTGCCCTGAGTCTGGCATATCTCAGCCTACCACTCAAGCACTTTGCTGACTGATGGACGAGTGCGGTCAGAGTCCTGCCCCCACCACACCCTGTACAGTGCCTGCCACTCTTTTCTGCTCTCCATCAGCTCCAGCAGCTTCTTCAGGGAACTCATTGTCTTGCACCTAAGCCTTGCACACATTGGTAATGTGCCCAGGATGGATGCACTCTGCTCACGGACCAACAATAAGTTACAAACTGTTGTTTGGGAATCAAAGTGACCTATGAAGACAACCCCTGCCTTTGACTGCAGTTGATATTAACACAAGACAGCCAGCCTTCCTAAGCTGGCCTCTCTTAACACATTTACAAGCTGGGTAGGTCAGGGGGTCTCAGGAATGAGAACCAGGGCTGCTTCCTCCCACCAGCAGAGCACAGGGGTCTCCCAGGGCTAAGCCCCTCCCATCAGAGCGGCCTTTAGCTTCGTCTTGACTGTCTAGGAAGTACCCCACTTCCCAGGATGCTCCTGGATGCCGACTTCCTCTTCCCCGCTTGCAGTGGGTGATACAGAAGGCCCTCTCTGCTGGCTTACTTGCCATCTCTCCCTACCAAGTCTATGCTTGACACGAACAGACAAGACAACTTACCAGCTTTCAGGAAGGACCTTCTTTCTGCTTTCTCTGGAGTAAAGGACAGGGGCTGGGTTTCCTGTGAACAGGAACTGCTTTGTCCTTGGGGTGTTATCAGCCTGCAATCCTCCCTCCTTGTCCCTGCTGCAGCTCTCACATGGGCAGAGGTAGCAAGCAGGCAGTTACTAAGTCCTTCACTGCAGCCCTAGCCTTATCACGCTACACCTCAGTCTGGGTTTGGATCCAACCTCACAGCAGCCACCCGAAGCCAGAGCTCCCCTCCCCTGGTTACTAGTAGGGTGCTGGAAACACAGCTGAGAAACAACTTGACTAAGGCAGCTGCAGGAGCAGGGTGATGGGGGGGGGGGGGATTCCCCAACATTCAGAGACCACAGTGTGCGCAGCACTTCTGTGAGGCCTGAACGTTTCTGTGAAGACTCAACTCCTTGTCACTAGCCAAACACACTGGGGCAGATGGTAAGTGTGAGGAGGGGTCAGCCTGGAATCTAAGTCAGTGCTCTGGCCAGATGAGCATGGCTGCCGACCTGAACTACAGCAGCATCTGCAGGAGGGGATGTCGGTCCAAGAAGGGGGTATGTGTCATCTCACGTGTGCTGTGTCACTCGTGTGCTTCTTGGTCACATGCACTTTTTGTTTTCTGAGATAGGGTCTCACTGTACAGCTAGGCTGAAATCCACTATGTAGACCAAGCTGGTCTAAAACTCATAATCCTCCTGCCTCAGCCTCCAGAGTGCTGGGATTACAGGCATGCACTACCACACCTAATACATTTTTTTTTTTTTTTTGCAAGTGTGTGAATGGAACTCCACATTTTATATGTACATGCCATGCTAGGCAAGCACTCCACTATGGAGCTACATACCATCCTCATGTACTTTTATAATTGTAGGTAAATGTTATTGTTGCTCTTGCAGAGAACTGGAGTTTGGTTCCCAGCACCCACATGGCAGTTTACAATCACCTGTAACTCCAGTTCCAGGGCATTTAGATGCTCTCTTCTGACCTCTGTGGGTACCAGGCAAGGACGTGGTGCATACACAGCCAAAGCACATATACACATAAAAGAAAAGTAAACTTTTTAAAAGGAGAGCTGGGCGTGATTTTTCTGTGTAGCTCTGGCTGTCCTGGAACTCACTCTGTAGATCAGGCTGGCCTTGAACTCAAGAAATCCACCTGCCTCTGCCTCCTCAGTGCTAGGATTAAAGGTGTGCATCACTGTGGTCTCTGAGTTCAAGGCCAGCCTGGTCTACAGAGTGAGTTCCAGAACAGCCAAGGCTACACAGAGAAGGGAGAGAAAATTGAGCCAGGACTCCTGGGATTACGTAAGTCTGAGGGCAGCTTAGACTAACCAATGAATTCCAGGCCAGCCTCCCCTATAGAGTGACCCCGTCTCAAAACCAGGAACTAGAACCCCAAGACAACAAAAAGGCAGGGCTGGGATGTAGTTCAGTTGAGAGCCCCGTCGCCAGCATAGGATCAGCAGCAGTAGGAAGCAGAGGCAGGAAGAACAGAAGTTCCCAGGTGTACATGGTGAGAAAGCACATTCTAGTAAGCCTGGGCTTCATCAGACTGTCTCCAAGGAACAAATAAAAAGAAACTGGTGTGAGACTGTAGGCTAGGAAGGACTCATATAGAGGAGTTGAAAGCCAGGGCGGAAGGGAGCTTCAGCTTTGGTTTAGGGCTGTTAAAGGCCTGCTTGCTTTCAGAGTGGCCCTGCAAGATCCCAAGCCTGTTAGGAAGGCAGTTGTGTTCCACCCCTCTGAAGCACAGCGAACCAGTCTGGTGTTACTGGGATACCCTGATGACGACATAGGTACACAGCCAAGGTTTCCAACACTGTACTGGCAGGAGCTTGTTAAGTTTGTTGACTAAAATGCAGTAGCTGCTGATGGGTTGTTGAGGACAGACAATTAGACAGCACAGGACTAGTCTGTGGGCAAGGCAGTTCTGACGTGTCAGATACAGTTCAGAGAAACAGGAAGTCGACCTGGACTGAGACCACCGGAAGGCAGGCAGACAGAGCAGGTGGCCTGGACCAGGACGGACAGGACGGGAGTTCCTCAGCTTTGTTACTTTTTCCCAGGTGTGGAATACAGGACACCTGCTGCCACTATTCCCCGTTAGAGAGTAGTGTGGGCTGGATCCCAAAGTTCTTCAGAAGGTAGTGCTGTCCATTAGGTATGGAGGGGAAATTCAGCCTAGAAAGGTGTAAAGGTTTATAAGCTGAAATTTGACACCAGGCTCTTCCTAGGGGTTTGTTCTTAAACTGAGGCATCAGAACCACAGGGGGTGTCTCACGTCAGCGGACAGGGCCTTCCATGGGGCTGATCAGGCAGGAGGAGGAAGGAGTCAGAACCAGTTCCTGGTGATGTTCATTTGTTCATACTGTAGGTTCAGACCCCCGTTCTGACAACCACAACAGATCATACCTGGCCTGTGCGCTGAGGTCTGTCCAAGTCAAACGATGTGAATGCACCAAGAGCCCCCTGCTGCGATTGACTAAAGGGAACAAACACTCCTCATCACCTTCACTTTGTGGCTAAAGACTGCCTATCCCTTCCAGCACCTTGCTGGAGGCCAGGCTTCACCAGTGTTTTTCCTTCATTACTAACTCTAAGGAAGTCTGTTATTCAGAATACAAAGGGAAAAGACTAAGCGCCAGGCAGATGCTGCATCTCTAACAGCCTACCATGCATCAAGTGAATTCAACAAACTGCACCAAAAACGTGGCAGTGGGGATTCTGTGCTGAGCATGTACAGACATTTTCTCGTCGTCAGCGCCCAACAGTATAATTTAACATTGATTTACACAGGTTTTGTAAGAAACCTAGAGATGACAATATACAGGAAGATGTGCATAGATGACATGCAAATACCAGGTTACACAGGGACTTTAGCACCTGCAGACAGAGGTCCTGGAAGCGATCCCTGAGGATGCCGAGGGCAACTGTACTTACTGACAACTTGGTTAGGAGTCACTCCACATCTCAGTTTTTGGTATACTCCAGGTCAGGCTGTGCTGGGTCTTGTCTCTGCCTTCCTATAAAGACTTAACTGCTTCCCATAGCGAAAACTCTGGATACAACCTGAGGAACTGGCTTCATTTCTTCCAACCACTCTGCCCAGCTCTAACTGGCTAGACTAGGGTGACTGGTCCTATGCAGTCAGGAATGAACTAACAGGATTCTAGGAGCAAGCTGTGGTTTTCCACTCCTCAAATGGTCTCAAGACACCTGAATTAAAATTCGTGTCATGGAGGCAGAGGGGCAGGAACTGCAGCACACAATAGCTCAATCTGGGCATTTCCCAGCTGCCTTCTTGGCTGCTACTACATAGTTCATTCTGCACTAAAGCTTTGGCTAAAATCGCCTCAGGAAACTAGAGGAGTGAGCTTTGTAAGCACAAAGGACACTGAAAGAAATGCACAAACATTGTCCTTTCAAAAGCTCAAGGAACTGAATCCAGGGCAACAGATCAGCAAGGCCAAGCTACCAGAGCGAAGTGGGGGGTGAGGACAGTGGAGCCTGGGCAGCTGCAGCATGGGTACTCAGAGCTCAGCCACCTCTGGCTGAGCTGGCAGGATTCCCAGCCACCCAGGAGAAAAGAGCCCACAGCCCTCCAGCCAAAAACACCACTTGCATAACCACCGCAGGCCATAGGCCATTCACCTTCCAGAAGACCCCACCTGGGTATTTTCCCAACCGTTACTCTCTGCGAGATAGAACAAAGCTGCCCAAACAGGGGCTGCTTCCAGGTGGAAGTGCCTTTCTTCCTGAATGGGACACCAGAGACAAAACATCTCTGAAGTACCTTCAGCTTCTCTGATGGCCAAAATGGAGAGTGGCACCCAGGCAGTTTACAGCTTCCTTTCTTCCCTGAACCACACTCTTTTGTTTCTGTGCCAATTTTAACAAGGAAGCTCACAGCATAGATCGGGACAACTGTCTGCTTCAGCAAGTTTTACAACCAAGCTGACTGGTGGAAGGCATTTTTGTTGTTGGTATATACCGTGTTTAGCATTGGTTGTTTTGTCAAAAAGATGTATGTAGAACAGATTTTTTTTTTTTTTTTTGAGATGAGGTCTCTTGCACCTTAAGCTCTAAGCTATGCAGGCAAGGGGCCTTTGCTCTCAGCTCTGTAGTGCTAAGACCACCAGTGTGCACCACAACTGGTCTTATCAGGAGCCTCACACAGAGTACAGACACTGTCAACTCATCTCCATCAAGTTTTGTTAAAGATTTACTTTTAATTGATGTACATTAGGTGTTCTGCCTGTATGTATGTGCACAGTGGAGGTCACAACTGGGCACTGGAGCTCCTAGAACTGGAATTCCAGGCAGTTGTGATCTGCCATGTGGGTGTGCTGGGAGAGAAGCAAGTAATTCTAATCCTGAGCCATTCCTCCAGCCCCAGAGAAAAAACCTCTAATATCTGGCTTTCTTTGTTGAGGAATTCTTGTAGTATGAAGGCTCTCAGTGGAGAATATGTAAGTCAGAAACCCAAGTTAGTTCGTTTTTAAAGGAATAGTAGACACACACAAGGAAGCAGCCGTCAGTACGTAAGAGCCAGCGAGCAGCTGCACTGGTTTCTGAGAAGCGAGCACATAGGGCTGGAAGCCAGTGTCCTGCCACTTCACCTACAGCAACAGAATCAGTCACAGAGAGAGAACAATGTGACCATCAGAATGCCAGACCTGGGTTTCCTAAACTTTAGGTTTTCATCCTAAAGTTCACTCTCTTTGAAATGACAGAGACATGCAATCACTACACTAGAAAACGAAATGACATAGCAGATTTTCTAGAAGAAATGCCCTTTCTCCTACAAATGTTCTCAGGACTGTCTTTCTGTTGTTGTTTTGGAAGAGGCTTTGGACTGGAGAGTTGGCTCAGCAGATGAGAATGCTTACTTTTTTTTTTTTTTTTTTTTTTGGTTTTTCGAGACAGGGTTTCTCTGTGTAGCTTTGCGCCTTTCCTGGAACTGGCCTCGAACTCACAGAGATCCGCCTGGCTCTGCCTCCCGAGTGCTGGGATTAAAGGCGTGCGCCACCACTGCCCGGCTGAAAATGCTTACCTTTTAAGACCACCAATCTGAGTCTGACCAGAACCCCATGTGAAGGTGAAGGAGGCAGGGACTTGCTGCAGAGTTCTACCTCGCTGGCTTCAAGCTCCTCAATGTCCAGTCTTCAGAGCCCAGGGACTGTAGGTGGGCACATGTATGTTGGAATTTTTATGAAATGAAGATTACTTACAAATCTAAGGATAAAAGTAGCCAGGAGCTTTGGTTGAAGACTAAAGCTGATTAAAAGAACGTAGCTACTTCACCAAAAAGCTTCCCATAAACTAGAAATAAAAAAAACCAAGTTAGCCTAAGATTCCTTAGGCTTGTGGCTTCCTCTTCTGGACACTTTTAACTTGGATGACTGCAGGCTAGATTTATCTATGGTCCCTGCTGTGGATATCGCTCTGTATAAATAAAATGCTGATTGGCCAGGAGCCAGGCAGGAAGTATAGGCGGGACAAGCAGAGAAGAGAATTGTGGGAACTGGAAGGCTGAGTCAGGAGACGCTGCTAGCTGCCACCATGAGAAACAAGATGTGAAGGCAGAACTCGGAAAAGGTACCAAGCCACGTGGCTAAACATAAGTAAGAATTATGGGTTAAGTGTAAGAGCTAGTCAGTAATTAACTTGAGCTAATGGGCATACAGTTTATAAATAATAATGTAAGCCTCTCTGTTTACTTGGATCTGAGTGGCTACGGGTCTGGTAGTTGAGAGAAGATTTGTCCTGTGTCCCACCGGCAGGCTGGGACACAGAAAAACTTCAGCTACAGGTCCCCATTAACTGCCCACCAAAGGATCTGCAAGGAGCGCAGCCAATGCAGGCACAGTAATCACGGTAATCACCTTTGGGGAGAGGCTATCTGTACCAGCCATGTACTGTAGCTGGGGTGAGGGTAAAGGCCTGAAGTGGGCACCCATGGGTTTTCTCCCGGCCATGGTTAAGACTGCAGCCAGTTTTATTACTGTCTAGGCACTTGGTAGATTGCATGCACCATTGTGAAAATTCTTGGCATCTAATTGAGATTAAAGTGGATGCTTTCAGGTGGTGGCACTGTAACCTAGCTCAAACCTCTGTTGAAATAGGAAGTCTGCCCTAAGGATAAAGGTGACACATGAATACACAGCAGGCACACACATCAAAGCCTTGCTAATTTAACAATGTACTTTATACAAAATAACCAGTTCATATGGAAATAAATCTACAGATCTCCAAAGATCCAAAAAGCTTTTTAAAAAGTTCTTCCAAAAAATTATCCAACACACAATATCCAACTAACTATTGAGGTAATTGTCGCTCTCAGTGAAACAGGGAACCAGCAGACCATGACAAAATATATACAATATAAAAATAAATACATTCCCTTTCCAGTACTGGCCAGGACAGTTCATAGGGCATTCACTTTCGTAGCAGGAAACAAATGTCTTACACTGTGTACAGACTGGAGGAGCGTGGCCGGGGCCCCAGGAGCTGTCCACAAGTCAAATGACAAGTACCCCTGCTTAAAGAAATCAAGGGGCCAAAGCAGCTACAGAATGAGGTGGAGCGATAAATTACTCAATAGCCATACAGCTGTCCCCTCTGAACCCCAAGGGGAGAGGATGAGACGAGAACAGCCAATTTAAGCCTAGACAGTAGAAGGCTCAATGTCCCACTTCACCCAGAGAGTATGTTTAACCCAAGACTAACAGAGAGGGATCAAGAGCAAAGCTTGTGTCAACCAGTGAGTAGGGATGCAGCCTATCTTCTCAATGGGAAGGCCTACCTCAGGTCCTGAGGCTAGAGTCCAGTGCACTGAACAAAAAAAAGGTAGGCCAGTGCCTTCTCACCACCAAGTCCTAATCACATTCATCATTCATACTTCTTAGGGGGTTTGTTCTTTTGGATAGGGTCTCACTACATCGATTTGGCTGGCCTGGAGCTAGACCAAGCAGGCCTTGAACTCCAGAAATCTGCCTGCCTCTGCCTGCTGGGATTAAAGGCCTGAACCACCATGCTTGGCTCACATTTATACTAAATCAGTGCTGTAAATTCATGGGGGTGGGGGGAGAATGCCTCTGCACAATACACCCAAATGCTAAGTGTCTTTACCATAGCTGTTGACAAGAGGGACCCGCATTCCAGAAACCCTCAGAACTGAACACTCACTGATACACAGAAGGGAACTTTACAGCAGGCTTAAGTATATAAGGAATCTGGCCAAGAAGTGAACTTAAAGAATTCTAGAAGACCAAATGAGGTTATCCGAAACAGGTGAGGATTTTGACACTTGTCCTTGGGTTTAGGACTTTACATTAAGACTTCCCATGGAATTTCAAGTATGTGTGTGTGTGTGTGTGTGTGTGTGTGTGTGTGTTACTAGGGACTGAAGATAGGGCCTGATGCGTGCTGCATAAAGCTCTAACACTGAGCTGTACCACACCCTTCTTTTCTCTTTTGAGACAGTGTCTTACTAAGCTGCCCAGGCAAGCTTGAACTTGTGATCCTCCTGCCCCCCAGCTTTTCCAGAGCTGGGGTTACAGACCCATAGCACCAAACCTGCCTTAGGTCTGTTTTACTCTGTAGTTCTAGGGATTGAACACAGGGCCCTGCACATGCTATGCAAGTGTTCTACTACAGACCTACATCCCCAGCCACTCAAATTAAGTTTTAAGAGCACTATATCATTTACAGATTTGAACATTCATTAAAAGAAAAAAGGTTGACCAAGCGCTATGACTTGAGGCCTTGCTGGTGGCAGACTTGGTGGGAACTGCACTGGGATGGCTGTGTGTTCAAGGCTGAAGTTAACATGCACACCCTCTTATGCCAGGAGGACATACATTCCAACCACACAGCAAGTAAACACCACTGGACAAGAACACCAGATGTTCAGTCAGGAGGAAGCTAGAGTAACTGACATTTAAAGTTTAAATTGGATTGAGCTGAGGGGTGGAGACTACACGTTTTCCATCGACAGTTTAATATAACTAGCATGAGGTTTACCTTTTGAGAGCAGCTGGCCTGGGGCCTGGGCTCAGCTTGAACTACCACAGGCTCAGTCAGGTGTACTACCAGAAGACCCAAAACCAATCTTGCTCAGAAGGCAGAGTGGCTGTCCTTTTATTTTTAAGATGGAATGGAAAGTTACATAAACAAGAACCCTGCATATTTTCTCCTATTCTTTACATTCTTATAAACAAGGAGTTTTAGCCAATAGCTCCTGCTAATTGTTTTTTTTAAACAGATTTCACAGCAGGGCTGGGGTTGGGGGACAAACACATACACCCTAAACCTTCTAAGAGGCTCTACTTTTCTTTCTCAATCTTGTTTCTTTTAGGCCCTACAGTTTCGAAGTTATGACTAAGTTTGATAAAAGGAAGTCTACCACTAAATCAAAGAGTGCTTCCAATCATGCACAGCTATGTCACTGGGGACCATGGAGAGTCGGCATACTGACAAGGTCACAGTGACCAACGGATACAGGTCCTAGTCCAAGGTGGAATTTTAAGTCACCCTTACGTACTACATTCCAGCTATTAATCTCACATAACCCCGGTTCCTACTGCAGACTGTAAATGAGGTTTTCTGCATCTGGAAGAGAAGCTCCGGAAGAAGAAAGGCGCAAACAAAAGCTGTGGTCTGCAGGAGTGGGCCAGGGGCTCACAGGAGTGCAGCACTGTGTCCTGGCTGCTCCAGGGGACCTTGCACTTCCAAGATAAAAGTTGGGGCCAGACCAGAGGAGGAACGTACAGGACGAGGTCCTGTAAGTACTAGGCACCACCAAATTCTCAGTGTTAGAACTTAACGCAGTAGTTCAGTTTTCTGTTTCATGTCCTCCCTAAACCCAGGGGTAAAGGACCTCACCAATCCCTTGCTCCCCAATATCGTTCACAGCGTTTCTTTAGACCCAGGAACAGAGGTGAGGTGGAAGCAGAGTGCACTCAGCTTAGTGACCGGAGGCCTGATGGCTGTAGCATCCCTTGTGAGAAGTGACAGGCCTGTGCTACAGTGGCAGACACAGAACGGCAGTCCTAAGACTAGGCTGGCTTTTATTAACAGCAGCCAAGAGCCACCTAACAGATCGGACTTCTTTACTCTTCTAATTCTAAGCTGGACCATGTGGGTGTTAGGCTTCTGATTCAGTTGATTTGGAAACACAAATTAAAACAAGGTTGTTGGAAAGAAAATTGCCTGTCTGTATGTGCCATACTTGGGAGACACTGCATGGGTCAGCACCACCAGCAGGTTAGTAAGCCGTCATTTCCATCATTTGTGAGCAGGTGTCTATGGTCCAATTATCTCTACAACGTGGATGTTTCCAATTTCTTTCCCTTCCCGCCTCACATATTTGGAAGACTATTCTGCAATTACTGAGGATGCTGGGACTGGAGGGAAACCTCCCATTGACCCCTCCCACACCTAAACTTCTAATCTAGATTGGATTGGTATTTTATGGAGATCTCTACTACCCCAAAGCATACTGTAAGATTATATTCTTTTACAGAGATTTGCAACTCCAGGGCCAGGGCAGTTCCCTTGGTTTATTCTGTGTGGGATATTAAAAAATTTGAACATAGGTCCTAACTTTGGTGATATCTCAGCTAAAATAAAATACAGAGGGCTAAAGCAGGGGGAAATCCAGTGTAATTCACTTCTAAATCCATAATAATGTAATTTAATACTGTAAAATTGTTTCCTAACACAGACACAACAAATAATTTCCAAGAACTAGCCCTTGACAGCTACTTTAAATCAATATGACTGAGTCTACTATGATTCTCTAAACTGATAAAAACTATACATACTGAAATAGTCCTAAATTCAAATGTAAATCTATAGGATATATTTTCCTTCTTCAAACCTGTGCAATTTCTTTATTGAGACTAACATATATAACAAACCTGAGTAGTCACTTTCACAGAACACAGATGTGTGCTAGAAAGCGTTGTTGAGGCCTTCTAGACAGGCCTAACAGGCCCATGAAGAGGCCACTTTATCTTCTAATAAGTAAAACACTCTAGAGAGCCCAAACTCCTGGTTTACAACTATCTGGTAGAGTTGGTAGAAAATCAGGAAGGGACGTGCTTTCCCGAATCCAGAACTTGGGCCACCAGAGTGAGAGCAGCCTGTCCTCTGGCTGAAACACCCAGTAGGCCACAAGACAGCACCTGCCACCAAACTGAGAATGAACGCTGAGAAGGACAGATGCAGTGAGTTGTCTCCGAGGCTGGCTGGAAAACACATTAGTGACATACACAAGCTGAGACCTTTCAGGTCTCTTTTCCAAGCTCCACAAGCATTCAGTGTGACCTGACTATACATAGACAGAGACTACTCCAGTACTGTGTGCCAGCCATAGCTGGGAAGGACTCCCAGATCCTCCATGTGCCCACCTGCTGACTGTCCCACTCTATATACAATACATTCACCCAAAAAAAAAAAAAAAAAAAAAAAAAAAGAAAAAGGCAACATGAAAATTCTGTAAACTGGACCCAGCTGCAAAAACATTAATACTACAAGTAGTCCCTTCCCCAAATATATACCTGAGATTAGCTGCTCATGAAAGTTTAAAAGCACCACTCCATCCTTACATGTACCCTCCACCCAAGGTTAAAGTGATTTTTCCCTGAACAAGAGTCTTGAGATTTGGAGAAGCCAGCAAGAACTCCAGGTCCCCTTGCTCTTGCTAAGTTTGTCAGCTGTGCAGGTGATCCCAGCAACAGGCCTGTGTCAGCCATCTAGAGTGTGCATCTGCAGGCCAGGAGTTCAAGCTCGGAGGATGCTAGGCTTCACAGAAGAGCTGGAACAGGATGGCAGCGCAGAGGCGCACAGCAGTCATTCCTCCAAATCCTCCAAGGCCTGTATGTCTTCATGTGCAGCTGTCCATTTCCTTGGGGGTTATTTCCTCCTTGGACTAGCTCTGAAAGTAACAATATTAAATTACATCAATTGGCTAGCAATGACTGAGTATGTCAAAAAAAACACACAGGCTTGCTTATACTGCTAATTGACCCCCAGAAGCTTGCCTGAGTCCTTGACCTCCTCCTATGTGGACCAGGGCCTGGGTGCTTGGGGGAGGGGAGAGAGGATAAATTAAAAATACTCAGCGTAGTTGTGCATTTGTAAACCTAGCACTTGGGAGGTATAGGCAAGACAACCAGAAGTTTAAGGGCATGTAAGTGAATTTGCCTCAAAAACAAACAAAAACTACCAACTAAAAACTTTCCTCTTCCCCCCCAATGTGTAACTCAAGGGAGAGCACTCAGCTAGGAATCATGATCCCCTGGGCTGGACTCTCCAGCATCATAAAAACCCATGAACATAAAACTATTCAGTCCCTAATAAAACCAAACAATAACCCCTATTCTCAGAATAATGAGGTCAGGTACAGGTTGAAGTTCATTAACTATCTATAACTCGCTCTGTAGACCAGGTTGGCCTCAAACTCAAAGATCTGTCTGCCCCTGGCTCCCAAGTGCTGGGTTAAAGGCATGGGCCACCACACACCACTGAAATAAAAAACTTTTTAAGCTTAGATATAACAATAAAAGAAAAGTCACATTCTGCAGCATTTTGGGCTTCATAGTAAAGTCTATGCAAATATCCCAACATCTAGAACCTGAAATCTGAAGTACCCTGGGGCTCAAGTTACCCATTCTGCATTTATTCCTTACACCTGCAAGAGCTAGGAAATGCTCTAGTTTTTAGTACTTCTTACCTGATCCAGAGGAAGTGTGGGGGGCTTATGTGGTGGCAACTGTTCCGGTGATGCTGCAGGTGCCGGGGTCTTTGGGAATAAGGACTGTGACTGGATTGGATGCATGTGCATTCTACAGCCAGAAGAAAGGAACAGTTAAGTGTTAATGAGGACCAACTAGGAGAACAGATACTTGAGCTACAAAGACACTGCTGTAATTAGCCAGCTGGTAAATTTGGAATTATCAATACTGGGACAGAATGGAATAACATGCTTCCTGGGGTGATGCAGCAAGTACCCAAGCCAAGTACACTACAGGCTAAATACAGAGGCCAATGAACCAAATCCAACATTGGGAACACTCTTTGGAGAACAAGACAAAGATATTAAAGATTTGTACAGAGATTAAACATAACGAAATGAAATAAAGACTGAGCCTAGACTGGATAGTGATGTGTAAGTGACCACCACGCTTCTCCCTTGGTGTGGTACTTCCACTCTGAGACTGTGCTGCAGGGCTCAGGTGATACATGCTAAGGTATTTATGGCTGCAATGTAAACTCCGGTGGATTAAGGAAAAGGCAAAGAAAAACATCAAAACACAAGCAGTTACTCAGAGATGTACAGGATCAGTAGGCAGAGGGCTGGTGCACTGGGAGGCAGCGACTGGTGGACCTCGGAGTTCTAAGGCCACAGTTATACACTAAGACTCTGCCTCAAAAACAAAAACAAGCTGGGGTGGCGGCACACTCCTTTATTCTCAGCTTCTGGGAGGCAGAGGCAATCGGACCTTTGTGAGTTCAGAGGCCACATGGTCTACACTGAGAGTTCCAGACAGCCAGAGCTACATAGAGGAATGCTGTCTGAAAAACCAAAGACCCCTCAACATAAAAACAAACGAAACAACAACTATATTGCCCGCCCACCAACTAGTAGGCAAAATGTGAAATATCAGAGTGAGTGACTGTGGCACACACCTGTAAATCCCAGCACCAGAGAGGCTGAGACAAGAAGACTGAGTTTCAGGCCAGACCAAGTTGCTGGCAAAATCCTGTCTCAACCAAGCACACAAAAACAATCACAAGAGTAAAAAATGAGGAGAGCTTTCGATGTTAAGATGGGATGGCAGTGGCAGGGTCACACCAGCTTTTAAACGGAATGGTATTAGACAAAGTTTCTCTGTGTAGCTTTGGAACCTGTCCTGAACTTGCTTTGGAGACCAGGCTGTCCTCAAATTCACAGAGACCAGGCTGTCCTCAAATTCACAGCGATCCGCCTGCCTCTGCCTCCTGAGTGCTGGGATTAAAGGTGTGTGCCACCACTGCCGCCACCACCACCCAGCTCTGTATAGGTTTCTTAGAGTTCAGGACTGGCTCCAACGCTACAGAGAAATCCTGTCTCAAAAAAAACCCCCAAACTAACTAACTAACTAGAGGAAAGAAAAGAGAGAAAGGCACCACCACCAATCCATTTGCTGACAAAGTCTCACGAGACCATCATTTGACGTGTTTCACTTTTTTAAACTCAACAGTCAGGAGGAGGGATGCGGTAAGAAGCGACTTTAAGCACACATACTCAGGCTTAAGGCAGACCCTCTTTACCCTGGTCAGGGTCAGGTCAACTAGGCAGCAATGCTGACCACTCTGCCCAAGGCATTTCAAACTGCAGTTACTTTATTTTATTTTCCGGAGCGGAGAACCGAACCCAGGGCCTTACGCTTGCTAGACAAGCACTCTACCAGAGCTAAATCCCCAACCCCATCAAACTGTAGTTATTAAGTGTGCAATATCAACACCTTCCCTGACAGGCCAGGCATGATGGCACACACCTGTAATCCCAGTTCTTAGGAGGCTGAAGCAGGATGGTTCCTGAGAGTTTGAGACTCGCATGGGCTACAGTGTGAGCCCTTATTTCAAAAACACCTCGCCGACTCCCGCCCCGCCACCCCTCGGAAAGCTTTTATATTTTTAAAAATAACAATACAATCTAATAATTTAAATACTAATTCACAGGGAATGTCTGGAGTTAGTTACCTACCACCACAAACAAAAAACAGTGCAAATGCTGATTCATCTTCACCAGGGGAAGAAAACGGCAAAGACAAAACTATGATCTAATCTCCTAAGTCGTAATTCACATCTGTTTCTTGGTCTTGGACAATTATCTTAATTCTTAAAGCCACTGTTACTTTTCTCAGAGAAACATAACGCAACCTTACCCTGATGGTCTGTGCACTTCTTGGAAAGGGCCTCTTATTCCGCTTCCAGTGCCAGCCTGCTCCATCACTGCAGCCTGAAAGTGACCTATGCCCTCTTCCTGACAGCGGTAGAGGGGGCCCTCTGGAGAGAGGCCATTCGGCTGGGTGGCCACCGGATGGGGAGGTGGATGCGCAGCTACAGGAGATGGGTATGCCCTGGGTTGAAAGTGACTGGCTGGACGCTGAGGGGTATAAGGAGACCCTGTCTGCAGCATCACACTGTGGGGTGGGAAAGCAGGTGAGCCAAAAGTCACTCCTGAGCTCAGAGGTGGAGGTGGAGCTCCATAAAGATAGTCATTTGTAGACAGTGAGCTCTGCCGCTTGGTAGCTGCATTATGGTTGTCCAGATCCAGAAATTCTTTGGGACTCTCTGGCCTCTCCACAGATTCATCCAGCTTTTCTTCCTCTGGACCAGGATTCTGTCCATCAGATGGGACAACTTTAGCAGCCACTGCATCCATTTGAGTTGGAGAAGTTAAGGCAGCATTAAGTGTCTCACAGCCTTGCAGACTAGACAAGGCATTCTTATCTGAGAAGAGAGGGCGTGGGGGGTGACTCCCTGGGGCTTCACTTGGGCTTCTCTGCGAAGGGAGAGATCTCTGCCAATCAGAAAAGCCCTGTGGACATGTGTAATAAGGAGTCCGCTGATAGGGGTGGTATGAGGGCTGAGAAGATGCCTGGTAGGCATACCTCATTCCCTGCTGGGGGCGGTATTGGGGAAAGAGTCCAGGATGGGGACTGTTAGGCTGGAAGCCCCTGGGAGAGAAGGGCTGAGGATGTGATCCTGGGGACTTTCCTCCCATCATAGGGCCCAAGCCTTGCAGACCTGGATTCATATGGTAATGTGTAGCTGAATTAGAGTATTCTAGGCCAGGCATGTACAAGGGAGAAAACTGATTTATAGTGCCTGTCATCAAATTGGGGTCTGCGGAAGGAGGTGTAGTCGCATTCTGTCCTGCACCTGGCATGGTTTCCTGCAATGTTTTACCCCTGGGGCAGAGTGGCTTTTCTGAACCACTGCCACCAAGGCCCTTCCCTTCTGACCTACAAGGAGATGTTTCATCAACAACCCCATTTTCAGGTAGAGGCCCTCTGTCTGCCACCATAGAGAGGTCTCTCAAACAACCCTGCACAGTTGGGCTGGTGTAGCTACTGTCCAAAGGCCAGGAGTTCTTGCTCTTCGATGCTTTGTAAGTGTCTGGAGTTTCTGAAGCATCACTTTTGAGTTCCGAGCCCTCTGCTTCCCTTTCTTGTGGTGAACTTTGCCTGGTACAGTTGGCTTGCAGGGGAGGTGTCTGGTGAGGTAGCTGTTTGAGGTACACCCCCTCTGAAGCACAAACGCTTGCTGTTTTCTCTTCAAGCCTAGGCAAAGGCTCTGCTGGGAAGGGAGAAGAACAAAACAGTATATCAGTTGTTGAACTGACAACATCAATGGATGGAGTAATGGAAAAAAACATGACAAGCACATGAGCAGGGTCAAGGCTGAGATGACATTCGGCAATTTCAACCTCAGCTAGAGATTGTGATACAGCGAGTCTCTGAAAGTTGTCATGGTATTGGGGGGTCTGCACACCTCCTTTTGTGGGCAGAACACAGCACAGCTAAGCTACCAAACAATGCATATGTCTTGGCTTCTGTGTTGTCAACACTCAGACTAGAAAGATGCCAAGAGATTTAAGTCTGAGTTACAGAGCTAGTATCAATTTCACATTGAATTTTTATCACCTTCCATAGAAGTTCAAGTGACTCCATTCCCCAGCCAAGTATTAAACAGAATCACGTAATTATATACTGGACATACAAGTAAGCAGGAAAAGATTCTTTTCTCTCCTAAAGTTTTATCTTTCTGGCCTTTAAACAGTGTTACTACTGAGAAACTGCTTCAACCTTCACTAGAATTCACTGTTCTTCATTGTTATCTATTCGAGACAGATGGAAATAATCAGACATGGAAAACATTTCATAATGAGGGTCAGCAATTAAGAACACAATGCTGAGGCTGGAAAGATGGTTCAGGGTAAGAGGGCTTACTGTCTCTGCAGAGGATCTGGATTCAGTTCCCAGTACCCAGACGGCAACCTGTTAACTTTTGCGCCAAGTAATCTGATGCCCTCTTTTGGCCTCTATAGGCTCCTGTACATACACGGAGCACATAGAGTGACAAAGGCTCACAACTTACACATAAACTACACAAAGAACACGCTGTTGCTCTCCCTGTACAGGCTCAAACCCAGCTCTAACATATTCTCAACAGCAACTGTAAACAAATAGTGAGCGGAGGCTTAAGGACATGCAGGGCTGCCAGTCTGCTAGATTTTCTGAATTATTCAGAAATTATTCAGAAAAGTTTAACTTTTTCTTCTTTTTTTTTTAAACTTTATTTATTATGTATACAGGGTTCTGTCTGCATGTATGCCTGCAGGCTAGAAAAGGGCGCCAGATCTCATTACAGATGGTTGTGAGCCACCATGTGGTTGCTGGGAATTGAACTCAGGACCTCTGAAAGAACAGCCAGTGCTCTTAACCACTGAGCCATCTCTCCAACCCCAAGAGAATTTAATGCTTTTTTTTAAAAAAAGATTTGTTTATTCATTTATTCATTTATTTATTTATTATACAGTGTTCTGTCCGCATGTGTCCTTGCAGGCCAGAAGAGGGCACCAGATCTCACTACAGGTGGTTATGAGCCACCATATGGTTGCTGGGACCTTTGGAAGGACCTCTGGAAGAACAGCCAGTGCTCTTAACTGCCCAGCCATCTCTCCAGCCCCCTTTCTTCTTCTTTTTAAAGACAGGGTTTCTTAGCCGGGAGGTGGTGGCACATGCCTTTAATCCCAGCACTCAGGAGGCAGAGGCAGGCAGATTTCTGTGAGTTTAAGACCAGTGTGGTCTACAGATCGAGTTCCAGGACAGGCTCCAAAGCTACACAGAGAAACCCTGCCTTGAAAAAACAAACACCCAAACCAAACAAACAAAAAGACAGGGTTTCGCCGGGCGGTGATGGCACACACCTTTAATCCCAGCACTCAGGAGGCAGAGGCAGGCAGATCTTTGTGAGTTCGAGGCCAGCCTGGACTACAGAGCGAGATCCAGGAAAGGCACAAAACTACATAGAGAAACCCTGTCTCAAAAACCAAAAAAAAAAAAAAAAAAAAAAAAAAGGACAGGGTTTCTCTGTGTATCAGCCGACCCTAATTGTCCTGGAACTCACAGGGATCCTCCACCTGCCTCTGCCTCTTGAGTGCTGGGATTAATGGTGTACATGGCGTGTGTGTGTGTGTGTGTGTGTGTGTGTGTGTGTGTGTGTGTGTGTGTGTGTGTGTGTGTGTGTGTGTGTCCCGCTCTTCTCTTTTCTAAGCAAGCTTTTCTTAATACCCCTCTCTCCCCAATATTTAGGGGTTCCTTACTCTTTCTCTAAAGCTTCCCTCCCTGCTGAACTGCTGCTTGTTGCCATGTGTCTGATTTCCATGCCAACTTAAATGACATGGGGTTTTCCTTCTCTCCTCCATTCTCATTTGGGCAGCAGCTGAGGTTTTAAAGCTAGGCTGCTATATGGGTTTTCTTTTAAACTATAAAATTATCCTTAAACTCCAAACAAAACACCTCACACAGAGACACACACACAGAGACTACTGGGCCTGTGGTGGTGCAGGCCTGTGATCCCAGCACTCGGAGATGGAGGTATGAGGGCACCAGGAGTTTGAAGTACAGAAAGAGATCAGACTAGGGCAACCAGGATGGCTTGTCCAGGAAGGGCACCTCTGCCAAGCCTGAGGACGTGAGTGCGGCCATGGACTCACAGTAGGAGAAAACTAACTCCCTATAAGATCCCCCCCAATTAAAAACAAACTACTGGTAATAGCTTGTGCAAAGGCTTGTTCTAATTAAATGGCTTAAATAAAGAAGTTCCAAAAAGAGGCTGGGTATGGTAGCGCACACCTTTGATTCCAACACTGGGAGACAGAGCCAGGGGGATCTCTGTGAGTTTGAAGCCAGCCTACAAGCCTACAAAGTTCCAAGACAGCCAGAGTCAGATTCTGTCTCACAAAAGTTCCTAAGGAGTGTCTGTCTCACATATAAGTGCCTTTTGGTTATATAATCATTAACTATGCTCTTGATACCTCTAGACCTAAAGGGCTTCAATAATCTCGAACTTGAGTAGTTTATGGGAGGGGCTTGGTATCACTTCATATGTATCTTCATATTCTGTATGAAAAGATTACTCATGAATTGATACGCGAGCAAAGACATTGTAGAATACCTCGGTCATTCTCAGGCTCCTGTGTCTCACTGATATCCTGTGTGCTCCCAGGGTTGTCCAAAGCAGGCTTGGGGACTGACACACACACTGATGCTGAATGAGCTGCCTGTGGAAAGGGACCAGGTAACTGGGGAGGAGTGGGCTGGCGGGGGTGGTAAGGCACACCCGGGGGACAGACTCGGGAGGAGAGCTGCTGCATGGCGATCATTTCAGGACTGTCCATCATGGATTCCCCTCCTTGCACTGCCCGGAGGGGCTGGGAGGGTCCTCCAAACAGAGGACTTGGTGCTGGAGCTGGAGGTGGCTGCAACCGATGTCCAGCAGACTTACAGGCTGGTTGCATATACCCCGAGGAAGGAACTCCATGAGGTAGAAAGCTTGACTGTTTAGTCCACTGGTTTGGTGGGATAGGTGGTCTCATCACTCGGGCATCCATCACATGACCAAGGGTAGGAGGGTGGTGAGAGGGTCCTGGCCCCAGGTGGGGCTTCTCATCTGGCCCCAAACGTCCTGAGTTCGTAGCACCATGGTTCCCATTCCAGACAGCAGGGTGTACTCGATTCAGGTACTTGTATGAATGATAAATGTGACTGGGAGGAATTTCTGAGCTTTCAGGGAAGTCTGGAGGTCGGGCTGGAGTCCCACCATGCCTAGAAGGAATAAATCCTGCCTGGAAAGGAGCTGGTGGATAGATGTTTCCATCTTGACTGGGACAACTCATCTGCCCAAGCTGCAGGGAGGGGAGCTGGGATCCCATACTGGAAAGGTGTGTTAGACCCCCGCACATCTTTTCCTTAGGAGCACTGAGCCGGGTTCCTCGGTGGTTACTTATTCCCACTGGAGCCTGGCAATAAAAAAGGTAAGAAGCAGCATTAATAACCACACTCACAGAACAAGAAAGAACTGGAAAGACACTTCACCTATTGCGACCGATTTTTTTAGTAGAGAAGAGGTTGAATTACATTTAAAGTAAGGAGAGACTCTCTCAATCATGCCTGCAAAACTTTCCCAGCTGTCTTTTTGCAGACTGCTTACCTGTATAGCAAAGGGTGGGTGCTGCAAGGAATCTCCTGGGGACACCTCTGGGACTCGAGAGGAGCCATATAAGTTGGTGGGATCTGATCCTTGAAGAGAGCCAAATGTTCCTGGTGCTGCTGGCCTCTGAAGGCAATGAATAAAGCAGAAATGCGGATGAGGAAAGAGAGTCATCACGGAAAGCAGGGGTTTCCTAAGGACTCATACTGATGCAACCCTGTCGCCACGAATAGCCCTAATCTCAAAGCAGCTTCTCTTTCCAGGAAAAAGACTGCCTTTCTCTTATCTTAAAAAAAAAAAAAAAGAAAGAAAGAAAATCACCTTCCCCACCACAAATAGAGCCATTTTAAGCATTTTGGGTCCAATCACATCCTAGAATAGTAATTTATTTATACATTTTTGAGACAGGGTTTCATGAAGCCAGGCTGGTCTCAAACCTGCTGCGTAGCAGAGGATAACCTTGAACTTCTGGTCCTCCGGTCTCCATCTCTTAAGTGCTGGAAAGACCCTTCACCTAGTGGGACAGACTTTGCAGTAGAGAAGAGGTTGAGTAAGTTTAATGGGGTAAGAGCCCTAGCTTGGTGCACACGGTACAGGTTGGGACCACCACACCCATTATTATGCTGTCCTGGGGATCAATCACAAGACCTCATCCATGCTAGGCAAGTACTCTACAAACTGAGCTACAGGCCTAGTTCCTTATAAAGAAATCTCAATGTTTCAGACATAATATGTAGCCTATATACGCGCTTCTGTGCTTTATGTCTTCTGCTTTTCTTTTTGAGACTGGGGTCTCACTATGTGACCCAAGGCTGGTCTCAAACTCAGCCTTCCAGAGTAGCCAGGAATACTGTAAGAACCATAACATCAGGCCTTTCTGATCCTAAGTTTTGCCCACTTTGAGAATACATGATTCAAAGGACTAAGAGAGAAGAGGGTCTAAATGATCATGGGAGATAGAGTATGTATGAGAAAAACCATCTCATTTGTGAAGTAGACAGGACCACCAGTAGTTCCAAGGCCAGCCTCAGCCTCTATTACAGCAGCCAAGTCTGAAGCCATCTTTTGCTAAAAGAGACCCCATCTCCAAGATCAAAACCAAAATAACCCATCTATGGCAGTGGTTCTCAACTTGTGTGTTGCGACCCAGAGGGTGTCGAACAACCCTTTCACAAGGGCTCACATACCAGATATCCTGTCTATCAGATGTTTACATTATGACTTTTAACAGAAGGAAAATTATAGTTATGAAGCAGCAATGAAAATAATTTTATGGCTGGGGGTCACCACAACATGAGGAACTGTATTAAAGGATTGCAGCATTAGGAAGGTTAGGAACCACTGCTCTAGGGTTATCTGAAGACCATACAGTTACTAGCTCTCAGATTCCTACATAGACTGGCTTGGAGACAATGCTAGAGGAGGTGAGTTTTTTCTTACCATCTGGTTTAGAAGGGGTGCCTGGTTAGGCACTCTGCTACAGTGCAGGGGGTGGGAAAAGCCTTGGCCATTTGATGTGCCCACCTCTGAAGGGAGCTGTATAGAACTGTTACTCTGATCATCCCCTGAGGAGGCAGCTCGGCGTGCAGGGGGCAGTGATTTTCCTCCATTCTCCACTGGTGGCTGCTTCCTGCTGGGCCCTTCTGAGTCTCTAGAGCGGGTCCAAACATGGCTTCCACTACTTCGACCAGCCCGACTCCTTCTTTTTTCCCGTTTTTCATCCTCTCTGATCCAAAATTCTTCATCTGTGTCTCCATCTTCACCAGGAAAATGCTTTGTCATGGCCCGATGAAAACAGCGCTCTAAATTATCAGACATCTTGGTATACTCTAGAAGGAAGACATGAGGACTGATATCCAGGTACACATTTTACTAGACATGGAAGACAATTATTGACAGTTAAATAAGGAAAGCTACTGTGCTAAAGCCTGATTTTAATTTACCTCTGGAGAATATTACACTGTAGAACTACAGACACAAGATAAAGATCTGGTTTCTTTTTAAGTATTCTGCTCAAGGCTGAATGTCTGTGACATAAAGGTGACTCGAGTATATTACCTTAAACTAGTAAAAATTTAATTCTTTTAAAGCTAAGTTACCCAAACTACTGAGGATTATAATTAAAACTGCTTTGTTTTTTAGGCTACAATATTTGTGTTGATACATGAATCGTCCTGAGTTTCAGGATCATTAGAAAGATATGATGTGGCCAGACAGTGGTGGCGTACGCCTTTAATCCCAGCACTCGGGAGGCAGAGGCAGGCAGATCTCTGTGAGTTCCAGGCCAGCCTGGGCTACAGAGTGAGTTCCAGGCCAGCCTGGGCTACAGAGTGAGTTCCAGGACAGGCACCAAAGCTACATGGAGAAACATGGTCTCAAAACAAAACAACAAAAAAAGAAAGTTATGATGCCATTTTTCAAAACTCTTTAAGACCAGGGATGCTACTCAGTGGTAGAGTGCTTGCTGAGCATTCAGGAAGCATTAGATTCCATCTCCTGTGCAAACCAAATAGCTTGAGTTCAATCTTGTCTGTAGCAAAGAGGCCCAGGACAGCCTAGACCAGACCTCTGCTAGACTGTTTGTCCAGAGGCTAGACCGTGTTTCCTGGGGCACTGTTGGCACAGCTGGAACAACCAACCCATGGCCTTTAGTATATATTCTGTTTGTAGTCCTAAGGCAAAATATACACCAGCAGGGTGGCACACCCGAGGTTCTAACACTTTGCAATCAAAAGTTCAAGGAAGAGGTGGAGAGGTGCCTCAGAGGTTAAGAGCACTCGTTACTCTCACAAAGGACCTGGGTTTGGTTCCCAGCACCCATATGGTGGATTACAACCATTCATAACTCCATTTCTAGAGGATCTAGCACCCTATTCTAACCTCCGTGGGTACCAGACACACATGTGGTGAACATTAAAAAACACTCATGCACACTTAAAAAAAATCCAAGGTAAGCTTGGGCTACAGAGACTATCTGAAAACAGAAAACAAGAGTGAAGTCAGAAGGAAGGTGTGCGTGTCTAGAGAGCATGTCACCCCCACTGTAACATCAGCGCAAAAGACACTCGTCCACCTACCACTGCTGTCTCCATTGTATTTCCGACAATTCCTGAACATGGTCTTCATGTCATTTACAAATTCCTCCTTGGTACAATATAAACCTCCATTTAATTTCTTCTCCATGCTTGAAATATCCATGGGGATCTACAATAGGACATATATCACTTTAATTAAAACACGCTATAAAGGACAGTGACTTTAATCTCAGCACTACAAGTCAGGAGGAAGAACTGACACAAGTTTGAGGATAGTCTGTGCTACATACTGAGTTTCAGGCCAGTCTTGGTAACAAACAGAGCAAAGCCTTGTCTCAAAACAAGACAAAACCAAAAAGCTACTCACCATCCCTAAATCAGTTTCTAGGAGAAAAAGGAATCCTGGCATTTTAACTTCTCAAAAACTTGATAGAGCTGAGAGTAATGGCACACACCTTTAATCCCACCACTCAGGAGGCAGAGGCAGGCCAATCTTTCTGAGTTTGAGGTCAGTCTGGTCTACATATCGAGACTAGCCGAGGAGACATGGTACCCTGTCTTAAAATAAAACCAAACCAAACTTAACAAAGTTAAGTTAAAAAACTTAACAAAGTTAAAAATTGTGTGTTTGTGTCCTCCCATTCAGCAGTCCTGATTTTAAAGAGGACATAAAAGCAAGAGAAAAATAAACAAACACCCAATAATGTTACAGTTTGTATATGAACTGACTTCACAGATCCTTGAGTTTGAATAGCTGGTCTTCCAGCTAGTGGTCTGCTTTATGAGGCTGTGGAACCTTTTGGAGTTGAGTCTACTTGGAGGGAGTGGGCCACTGTGGGCTGGGTCTTATGAGTTATACCCTGTGCCAGTTCAGGCCCTAAGTTCTGGTTGGCCACCAAGATGTGAACAAGCTCCTAGTACTGAAGCCAGAGCTGCCTGCTACCATGGACTCTACCCTTTGAACTGTGAGCCAAAACAGGCACTTGGTCACTATGATAGAAAAATGATTAATATAAAACCCAAGTAAGAAACACATGCTTAAGTACAATTTCAAAGATACCTTAATAATCTGGTAATAGTTGGGGGCATAAGATTCATCCACAGGTTCCAAGAAGGGCCAGGAATCCTTGTGAGCCTTTACCACATCTAGAACTGAAAGCCAAAGAAGAGAACATAACTGACACATTCCCATGAAAAGATATTCATCAGAAATACAACAGCTGAGAACAGTAACTAACCTTTATACATGGCAGTGAAATCGTCATCCAGCTCAAAGCTGTGAAGCACAAGACAAGACATTAGTTAGCCTGACCACGGAGCAGACTGAGCCGAGTGGTATCTACGCCCTTGAGGTAAGCCCAACCCTGACCCACGCACTGGGACAACCCGAGGATGGCAATGGTGACGGGAGGGAAAGGAGGACAATCAGACCCCGTCTATAAAGTGAAGAGTTGGCCTAGGTGATTCACAACTCTATTATGACTTGTAATCCCGTCTATAAAGTGAGGAAGAGTTGGCCTAGGTGATTCACAACTCTATTATGACTTGTAATCACTAACCAGGGTGTTTATTTACTTATTTTTATAAAGACAGAGTATCATTATATAGTCCAGGCTGACTCAAATTCCACATTCTGTGGTGATATTGTATTCCCCGAAATATTGTGCACTCTAATAAACTTATCTGGGGTCAGAGAACAGAACAGCCACAATATTAAACATAAAGGTTAGGCAGTGGTAGCACACACCTTTAATCCTAGCATTCCAGAGACAGAGATCTACCTGGATCTCTGTGAGTTCAAAGTCACACTGGAAACAGCCAGGTGTGGTAACAAGAGTCTTTAATCCCAGGAAGTGATGGCAGGAAGCAGAAAGGTATTTAAGGCGTGAGGATGAGGAACTAGAGCTGGTTAAGCTTTTAGGCTTTTGAGCAACAGTTCAGCTGAGATTCATTCTGGATGAGGACTGAGAGGCTTCTAGTCTGAGGAAACAGGATCAGCTGAGGAATTGGCAAGGTGAGGTGGCTGTGGCTTGTTCTGCTTCTCTGATCTTCCAGCATTCACCCCAATACCTGGTTCCAGGTTTGTTTTTATTAATAAGACCATTTAAGATTCGTGCTACAAGAAAGATTCCGCCACAGCTTCTACAGAAATGTGCTACCATGCCTGACTGGAAGTAACTGTTTCATTTTCTTTTTCAATTTTTTGAGACAAACCCTAGCTGTCCTGGAATGCCCTATCTAGGCCAGGTTGGCCAGGAACTCAGCCTCCTGAGTGCTGAAATTAAAGTGTACGCCACCACACCCAGCACTATGTTTTTTTAACATTAAAATGGTGAGTCCACGGCCTCCTACATAGGCCTGTTACAAGAAATAAATGAGAAGTACTTTTCTAAAACTAAGAATTGTATTTTATTTGTTGTTTTTGAGACAAGGTTTCTTTCTGTGTGACAGCCCTGGCTGTCCTTGACCTCTGCCTCCCGAGAGCTGAGACTAACGGTGTGCACCACCAGTCACACCTGTGTAGGTGCACTCAGAACCCCCTGGAGCTAAAGGTGTGCACCACCAGTCACACCAGTGTAGGTGTACTCAGAACCCCCTGGAGCTAAAGGCACTTAGGAGTTGCCACATGGGTGCTGGGAATCAAACTGCAGCAACCCTAAAAGACTAGCAAGAGAAATCTTAAAGAGCCATCTTGAGAAATGCTTTTAAAAAATTACACTTATTTATTGTGTGTGTGCATCATGGCCCATGTGTAGGGGTCAAAGGACAACTGTAATGATCAGTTTTCTCCCTCTACCAGGTGGGCCCCAGGGATCCAACTCAGGTCATCAGGCTCAGCAGCAAGGGCTTTCAGGGAGAAGTGCCCACTAGTGTGGCCAGCTGCAATGCTGCTGTTAGTAAATACTCACAGGTCCTTGGTCTTCTTTTCTTCTCTCATAGGAGAATTTGCGTCCAAATGGGAAAGTTCTGGGGGTAGCTCCTTGCCTTGAGCCAGCAACCATGCTCGCTCTTCCCTGAGCTTTCTCCTCTTAGCTCGATCTATACCCAAGACACAAACACAGTCCACGTGAGCATTTGCACTTGCTGCTCCCTGGTCTTCTGTGAGCCCACCTTAGTTACACAGAGGGCAAGCTCATTTATTTTATTTAAGTGCCACATCAGACAGAATCTGTGGTAATTCCAGTTAAATGTCACTTTAATCATTAAACTCTTTTTGCTTTGTTTTTTTGAGACAGGGTTTCATGTAACAGATTAGCCTCAAACTTGCTACAAGACTTGAACTCTTGATTCTCCTGTCTGATTCTTCCAAGTGCTAGGATCACACGAATCCACTTTCTTCTTTTAAGCACTCAATACAATATTTATTTATAATTTCCACAAAAGGAATAACCTACTTGTTCATTACCATATACCTAGAACAATGCCTTGCACAGAATGGGTCCATAAAAAATGTCACTTTGAAGAAGTGTCTCAGCTGGGTGTGGTTATTCACACCTATAATCAGAGTGCATGGCAGGCTGAGGCAGTAGGGTTACTGCAAATTCTCGGTTAACCTGGGCCACATAATGACACTATGTCAGAGGAGGAGGGAGGGAGGAAAGAAGAGAGGGAGAAACAGAGAGAGAGACACACACAAAGAGAACTATCTTGTAACATAAGTACTGTAATCTTAAAAAAAAAGGTCTTAAGGAGAGGGAGAGAGAAAGGGAGAATAACAGAGAGAGAAAACTATTGGTATACATTAAAACAGGTTCAGCTGGTAAATACTACTGCTATTTAAGAAGGCAACTAAAGTTGTTATCCTTAACTTTTAATATAGACAAGCACTTGAAAGACAAGGCAGGTGGATCTCTGTGAATCCAAGGCCAGTCTGGTCTACATTATGATGTCCATACCAGCTATGGCTACGGAGAGACCCTGTCTCAAACAAATTAAAGGGAAAACAAACAAACAAACAAACAAATAAATGCGGGTGGTGGTGGCCCATGCCTTTAATCCCAGCACTTGGGAGGCAGAGCCAGGTGATCTCTGTGAGTTCGAGGCCAGCCTGGTCTCCAAAGCTAGTTCCAGGAAAGGCGCAAAGCTACACAGAGAAACCCTGCCTCGAAAAACCAAATAAATAAATAAATCTATTGACAAAAGAAAAATCTTACTATACCAAGGCTGGAGTCTGAGTCTAAGCAAACTACCTGGCACTAGTAAGATTAATGACAACATTCTAACATGCCATATTTAAGAAAAATCTGGGATAGAGATGTAGTTCAGTTGATAGACTGCTTGCTTAGCATGTAGAGAAGTCCTGGGCACACAGTACCACATAATCTGGGAGTGGTGCTGCCCATCTGTAATTTTAGCACTTTGTAATTTTAGCAACTTTAGCAGTTGTTCAAAATGAGTTCAATGTCAGCCTGAGCTACATGCAACCCTGTCAAAAACAATAAAACACCCAAACAAAAACCTTTCTTAAGCACCTATGAAAGCAGTTGCCAATGTCTTAGTACCTTTTTAAAATGATATATAAGTGTGTGTAGGACACAGCAGAAATCTACATAAAAAGCAAGGTTCTCAGAAGCATACTGAGAAAGACAACTACAAGTGGCTTTGGACAGGATGTAAAGGGAGCAAGACTAAATTCAGATGAATAAACATAACAGAATACAATTACAAGACATCAAACAGAAAGTCCAAAACAGCTGAGATAAAGGATAATCTGGCCTTGACTGCCAAGTGGATTGCTCTCAGCCTGGAGCCTCTACGTACCTTCCACTGCCTTGACCTTTTCCTCCAGTTCCCGCTTCCTCTCCTCTTTCAGCATCTGCTCCTGCTCCTTCTTCTGCACCGCCAGCAGGAGCTGCCGCTCCTCCTCCTCCTCCTTGCGCTTCTGTTTCTCTATCTTGGTGAGCATGGGAGTCTCCTGTAAGGAGCCAACAAGTGCACAGAGGTCAGAAGACTACACAGAGCAGTTCTTCCCTGAGTTAAGAGCTAGTTTACTGAACTCAACAGATACTAGTAGTCACAGGATTTAGACCTCAAATACAGGCTTCTTTTATTATGCGTGAAATGTGTGTATTGATGTATAAAAATACACAAATATTAAAATATAATGGGAGGTATATACCAGAACCATAGCACTGAGGATTATGAGTTTGAGGCTAACCCAGTTTAAAGACCCTTTCCTCTCAGGAGGCAGAGGCAGGCGGATCTCTGTGAGTTCAAGACCAGCCTGGCCTATAAATTGAGTTCTAGGACAGCCAGGACTACACAGAGGGACCCTGTCTTGAAGAAAAACCAAAACCAAAACCAAATCAACAACACTCTCTCAGAAAACTAAACATGACGTGCACAATGGTGCACATCTACCACCATCATTCCAGCCCCACTAGAGTGTGTGAGTGTGTGTGCACATTCATGACAAACTGCAGCAAGTGACACTTGTTTGAACAGCTAACTTAACAGATAGAGGACGTAAGAACCTTCTACAGCCAGTTCTCTCAAGTTTTACACTGTAGAAAATGCTTGAGTAGTTCTGTGTGGGAACAAAGATGACTGCAAATGGTTATTTACAGTAGTTACATTAGCACTTCAACTGCTTTTGATTAAATTCTTTCTTCATTTCCTCTCGTATGTTTTTTTAAATAAATAATCTATTTACTTTTATTTCATGTGCATTAGTGTTTTGCCTGCATGTATGTCTGTGTGAGGGTGTCAGATCTTGGAGGTAGAGACAGCTGTGAGCTGACATGTGGGTGCTAGGAATTGAACCCGAGTCCAATCAGTGTTCTTAACTGCTGAACCATCTCTCCAGCCCTCTTTTGTGGTTCTTAAAACCAGTTTAAAGATTTACATTTACTGGGGCTAGAGAGACGGCTCAGTGGTTAAGAGCAATGGCTGCTCTTCCAGAGGACCTGAGTCCAATTCTCAGCAACCACATGGTGGCTCACAACTATCTATAATGAGATCTGGTGTCCTCTTCTGGCAAGCAGACATACATGCAGGCAGAACACTGTATACATAATAAATAAATCTTTTAAAAAAAAAGAGAGAGATTTACATTTACTTTGTGTGTTTTGTCTATGTGAGTGTATGCATGTGTGCAAGGGTGCCTCTCAGAGACCAGAAAAGAGTATTGGATCTCTCGGAGTTATCTACATGGATTCTGGAAACTGAACTGGGATCTTACAGTAGACCAGGAAATGCTCTAACTGCTGAGCCATCTCTCTGGCTCCCTTGAAAAGATTTAGATTCACACTTGACTCAGAATTTGGACAAGGTTTTGTCTAGGGAGTGGGTGGACTTTTCAATGGCTGTCCTACTAATTTTGTTTGAGACTGAGTCTCATACAGTCTAGGCTGGCCCAGAACTCCTGGTCCTCCTGCTGCTACCACCTCCCAACGGTTAGGTTAACAGCATGTCACCACACCTGGCTTGATGTCTTATTATTTAGCTACTTATTTATTTATTGTGTGTGTGCCATAGTGTGGATGTGGAAGTTAGGGAAATTTGCAGAAGCTGGTTCTCTCCTTCCACTTTCTGGGTCCCAGGAATTGAAATCAGGTCATTATGCTTGGTGGCAAGTGCCTTTACTCAATGAACCCTCTTGCTAGTCCACTGTCATAACTTAAATTCTTTTAGCCTTACTTCAAGGCCAACTTGGGCTACACAACAAGATCTGGCCTCAAAAAGCCAAAGCCAAACCAAACGAAAAAATGGATTTTCCTTCCCCATGAAAGGAGCCCACAAGGTTCGGGAATCTAGTCCACACGACACTGTTATTTACTGATAAAGAGCCTCAGCAGAATAAACGAAGTGCTTTACAATCTTTTAAAAAATAACAGCAGGCAATCTGCCTACTGCGAGCTGGCAGGGGGAAGTCTCTGAGTATTGAACCTGATCACCGCCTCCTACATAACTGTCAGTCAGTGTACCAGTTAGGTTTCTGCGAAGGTGACTGAAGCCAGTCATTTAGGAAGGGAGGAGCTTACTTACTTAAGGGGCTGTCCCCACCACATGGCCTACAGGCAAGTCTGTGGGGCGTTGTCTTGATTAATAATTGATGTAGGAGGGTCGAGCTGATTGTGAGCAGTACCACCCCTGGGATGGCGATCCTGCATTGTGTAAGAAAATAAGCTGATGGGCTAAGGAGAAAATGGACTCCCTCAAGTTCTCCTCGGATCTCCCACCAGTGCTGACACATGCACACCCCCACCCCAAACACAATAAATAGATGTAAAAAAGTTATTTCTATTAATAAAAAAAGAGAGAAATAGTCACTAAAGATTGGCTCTAGCCGGGTGATGGTGGTGCACGCCTTTAATCCCAGCACTCGGGAGGCAGAGCCAGGCGGATCTCTGTGAGTTCGAGGCCAGTCTGGGCTACAGAGTGAGTTCCAGGAAAGGCGCAAAGCTACACAGAGAAACCCTGTCTTGAAAAACAAAAAACAAACAAACAAACAAAAAAAACACAACATGAAGATTGGCTCTAGCAGACAAACACAGAAACTTCTAATTTTCCTTTTTCCATTTCCCAAATGATATGATTATATAGATGCTCACCATGCCTGGCATAGTGAATTGTTTTAAAAATCTATTACTATAAGCACCAGGTATTGTGGTGCATGCCTTTAATCCTAGCATTTCAGAGACAAAAAGCAGGAAGATCTATGTAATTTTGAGGCCGGCCTGGTCTATACTTTAAGTTCCAGGCCAGGTGAGCTACAGAGTGAGACTTTGTAACTGAAGGGGTGGGGGTGGTACATTAATATACACACTAAGCATTCTGGACATTAACAGCTAGTAACCTGAACTGATAGCATCTTAAGCCCAAATTTGAAAGTTCTCCAAATCTTTTGCCAACTAAGGTAAGAACCTACACTACCTTTGCCTGACTGGCTCTGTCATGGAGTTATGACCCCTCCCTCTAATTTTGATTTCTGAGTCTCACAATGTAGCCCTGTGTAGATCATGGCAGCCTCTAACTTTAAGTGAGTATCCAGCTCCTGCCTCTGATGTTAGGATTACAGGAAGAGCAACCATGCCCGGCAGAACTCTACCTCCATTTTTCATTCCCTCTGTTCTCAGATCCCTATCTGGAATCACTTCCACACTTAGCATTGACATCTATGCATTGAAAACCCATCTTTGCCTCACATTTCCTAGGCCTGTTTCCTCATGGGAATCTCTCTCTACAGCTACTTCACAGAAGTGATACCCGAAAAACACATCTGGGGGTTTGAGGAGACCCAGGCTCCACACCAAAAATCTGTCTGCAAACCTCTTGTGCTTATTTTCAGAATGCTTCCATTTTAAGGCAAAACATGTGCTCATGAGACAACCTAAGCAAAGGGTTTACTTTTTCCTCCTCCCTGTTGGGACTCATTTCTTTTAAGATTTTATTTTTATTTTATGTGAATTTTTGCCAGCATGTATGTATATGCGCCTCATGCCTGTGAAAAACAGGGCATCATATCCCCCGCCCCCAACTGGAACTGACATGTGGGTGCTGGGAACCAAAATCAGGTCCTTTAAAAATCCAAGTCCTCTGAAGAGCAGCCAGTGCTCTTAACTGTTGAACTCTCTAAGTCTCAGGACTCACTCCTGTTTTAACTATTAAAGAACCCCTGGCTGGCAAGATGTTTTATCAGGTAAAAGGTACTTGCTACTAAACCTGTTGTTGCTGTTACATGGTCTTAGTCATGTAGCCATCTCTCCAGCCTCTCAGACAGTCTCCCACTGCAAATATTTCCCCTGTAATAGAAGTCAGCTGAGTGTGGTAGCATAGAAGTGGATTACCATCAGGAGGCTGAGGCAGGAAAATCACTGAATGTTCAAGTCCACACTGGGCTATATTTTGAGTTCCAGAACAGTCAGAGCCACCTAGTGAGATCCCATCTCATAAAAACAGAGAAAAGTAAGTGGTAGGTGCAAGTGCTATAGTGGTTGGTGTTTAAATGCCTTATAGGTAAGAAAGAGTCCTACTAGAATCCTGACAGCATCTTAATGAGATGCTAACAAGGAGCCACTGTGAAATCCTCCAAAGAATTGCTAACTAGAACTCTAGCTGAAGCAGCGCCCAAGCTCTGTACTCCAAGGCACGGGTCCAGATTCACTCTTATCCTTGCCACCAGAAGCATACCCGAGATGACACCATCATAAACACGCACTAAGGCCTACTGACAAAAATACCTCAGCAGCCCTAATCCCAGGCTTATCAGTGTCTCTGCACTAATATTTCCCCCAGAAGCCACAATTAAAAGACTCTTTGAGGCAATTAACACGGGACTCCTGGGTGGTTGGTGCCTGCATACACAAAAAGCATCAAAGGACCAAAGACTTTCTGCTCTGAAAACAAGTCAGTTTCTCTAGGATAGCATGTGTCACAACACAAACTACACAGGGTAGTTTCCTTTACTTTAAACTAACAACAGAATTTAAAAACAACCCCTATAAAGAGGAAAAGAAGTAAGAGTGGCCAAAAGTTAGACTTCTGCTTGCAGCCACAACAAGGTTTTAGTGGTGGTGAGACTGCCAGGCAATCTGAGGTATGAGTTAGGGCATGGAGGACTCCCTGAAGCAGGTTCAAGGCAATAAAGCGGTAAAAAGAACCTACAAGATAGGAGGAGCTGGAAAGTACTCAGAACTAAACTGGGTACCAGCAACAGAGGCAGTTCCTCCCAAGCTAAGGACTACCAGGGAGGAGGTGGCAAGCCAGTCACTGCGGAATTGTCAACCAGAAAGTATGTAAGGGTTAAAAAGGAGCCACGTGTGGTGGTGTGCACCTCCTAGCACTCAGGTGTCTAAGGCAAAGTTGTGAGTTTGAACAAGCCTGGCCTGCTTACGTAATACTTTGTTTCAAACAAACCAAAATATAACTATAAAAACTAATTAATGCCCCTTCATTATTTATGGGAGGGAGGGGGAGGGCTGAGAGAATCCCACTCCAGGTTGACCTTAAATTTATGATCCTCCTGAACTTTTGCTTTCCACAACAGTAGGACTACAGGCTTACGATATTATGTTTGGCCTACAGGAAAATAAAGTCAATAAAAATTTACAAAGAGCTCAAGGTCTCTGCTATAGCACCATGTTGACATTTTCATTTAAGAGCCACAAAAACATAACTGCAAGGCAAAAGAGAACTCCCAACTTCATAAGCTAGCACAAGACATGGTGACAGAGCAAAACAATTGTGACCTGAGGTAACCTTTTGTGTGACTACTAACTTCACTACATGCGATGGAACATAGTATCAGGAGATAAACAGAAGGGGAGAGAATATGATAAGCAAGCCAGGCTTTGAGAAGACAACAAGCAGACTAGCAACATGCTACAGAAGCCTTTTGGACAGATGCAGTGGCCTCCTGCCACCTTCCTGGACCAGAGACAGGTGCGGGGGACAGCCTTCCCAAACCTTCACCTTTCACTGCACTCACGGGTGCATGCTCACCAGCCAACCCACCGAGGAAAAAGTACACCTGTCACTTCCCGCAGCAGCACACTAGCTCAAACCACGAGCATTTAATGTGTGCTACACAGTCAAAAGCACAAACAGACCTGGCTTTTAGGTACTCCTTGGAAAAACTAGTCGTTTTTAATCTAGCTGTTGCCCCCAACTTTTGTTCCCATCTGATGAAGGCTCTTCTCCAGTACAGAATGTGAATGCTTTCCTGCCCTGCATCTTAGGAGACAGAGTGATCAACTAGACTTCCTGGCAAGCACTTCACTCTTAAGCCGCTCATCTTGCCTGAGACAGCTGCATGTAACAACAGCCTCATTTCTCCTTACTGAACACAGTATAAGAGCTGGGAGACTCCAGAAATTAGTTTTCTACATTTTCCCACAATATATCACAACATGACGGCCACATCCAAATACACTCTGTTCTTTGACCATACTATTCCATTTTCTGCTTTGGAGCTTTTGTTTATATTGCTCCTGTTGTGAGAAAGACCCTAGGCTTTAATTCCACACCCAATGCCCACCATCAGAATTCTAGCCATCCCACACACTAAGGCCAAAACACCTCTGGTCTGCTTAAATCACCCTTTCTTTGCCTGGCTTCAATTTTTTCCATCTTTGCATTCATGAACTTCTTTTATCTATCACAGAACTTATTCATATCTATGTTAGATTGAATATGTGCCTGTCATATGTTGTATGATATATGATATAAGAATGTCACCCAATCTTCCATTTTTCTATCTTCTTTTCCCAGAAAAACACTATACCTACAAGAATCTTTCTTGAAGCTGGGCAGTGGTGGCCCATGACTTTAATCCCAGCACTCAGGAGAAAGAGGGAGGCAGATCTCTTAAAGAGTTTGAGGCCAGCCTGGTCTACAGAGTGAGTTCCAGGACAGCCAAAGCTACACAGAGAAACCCTGTCTCAAAAAATCAAACAAACAACAACAACAAACCAATCACAAAAACAAAAACCATTTGAGATTAAGTTTTTTTTTTAAGGGCATAATAAGTAGGAATAAAAGCTATGAAATGAAATGGAACTACTCTTTTCAAATACACTTTTTTACTCTCAGACACACTCACCTCTAGCTTGATGGATTTGATGGACAGATGGTCAGACATAAACCTATGTTGCAATTCTGGCTTTGTGCGCTGTGGACGTTTTCCCTACAGTAAGAAGTGAGGAAAAGAAAGGAAAAGATAGATTAGGGTGTTCTCAGCTACAGCTACTGCTGCCGCCATTGCCGCCACCACCACCACCACCAGCAGAATGGCCATCGAGGCACACCAGTAACTAATTTATCTAATAGGGGACCAAAGGTGTCCATCTTTTAGGACGATAAGGGAAAACAACTATTCAGCTGGGTAAGGTACTAAGCCAGTATATTTTCTTAACAAGAGGCAATTCAAAAGCCACTGACAACCAAGCATTTCCTATGAAAATTCATCACTGGAAAGAGAGGTTAAAACCTTAGGAGAACTTTCTCTAGCTAGATGTGATAGGCACACATATAACCTCAGCATTTGGTTGGCTAAGGGAGGAGGATTCTGAATTTTAGGCTAGCCTGGGAACAGAACCAGGCACTGTCTCAGAAAACCCCAAACACCACCACCAAAAACCAAACCAAACCAAACCAAACATCCAAAACCCCCAAAACCCTCTTCAAATGACAAAGAGCAAACTATTTTATCACATTCACCTGAGGGGATGGTTCTGAAAGAAGCACAAGGAGCACCTGACTCAGATGGTCTTTAAAGGCAGGAAGAGATGGCTGGCTCAGAGCCTGCAGGCACCTACCATCAAGCCTGACTACCTGAGTTTGATCTTTGAGACGCACATGGTGCACTGTGACACACACACACACAAAGTAAAAGAAAATGTAATAACAATTTAAAAGTAAGCTCTAGGTACTCATTTCTGCTTGCGCACACGCGCGCGCGCGCGCGCGCACACACACACACACACACACACACACACACACACACACACACACACACAGAGTGGGGGTGTGGGGGGGGGGATTTGGTTCCAAAATTGTTTAATGAAAAGTCTTAACTTCCTGAACATTAAGTAAATTAAGGCAGGAAAAACACAACCCTCTCCATGACAACAAGGACTGGTTCAGACAGTTTAGACACACTGCAAATACAGCGTTTCTGTTTTTAAGATAGAATACGCAGTTCCCAGAGGAAACACAATCACAAGTACCAAAGAGGTCACGATCGTCTACCCTCTTCAAGTACTTCTTCAAAGCTCCCTAGACAGTCTCTTCCTCAAGAAGCCCATAAGAATCTCATCGCTTCCACTTGAGATCTAACTCCAGCACATCATGTTTCAAAAGGAAATCTTGCCAACTTACCATAGAAACAGCACAAGAAGCTAACACCAGTTCACTCCAACTTTGTCAGATTAGATGGAAGAGGTGGATGCTGCTCTTGACACAGAGGGTGATCATTTCCTGCATATATTGCCACCAGCTTTCCCACTTCAAATGTATGCAAAAAAATCTGACTACTGCTGCCTCTCAAATGCAAAGAATAGATAAAATTTATGCATCAGCACACCCATCTACTACCAGCTTTTGTGTACCTACATTTAAATGTTTATAAGCCACCATCCACCAACAAACACTTTCAGTAGTCTACACCCACTTTTTTTTTTTTTTTTTTTTTTTTACACTGAACATGTTTTATTGAACTAAATAAAAAAACTGAGGTGGGGGAACAGGGCAATGAACAGAACATTAGAGAAACTGGCTCATTTTAGTCAATGTTAGGAGTCAATGTCAGGATATGCCCCTGGCCTAGTCATTAAGTTGGATAATCTCCAGCATCACTGTAGTTTATAACTATTGGTAGTTATGTTTTCTGCAAGACAAAAATAATTTACAATTCTATAAAATCTATGTCTCAATAGATGTCTATAGGTTAGCATATAAACCCAATCTTTCAAATATAATTAAAAATAAATGATAGTACTGATTCTGTATGTTCTTCAAGGTAATCTTTAACTATTACAGAGTTACCTACCATTTGCCTTATTAACAATTTGATGATGTTTGTATAAAATTCTATTATACCATAATATTTATAAGCAAAAGTTGAGGAGTAACAATATAAAAAAATTTTTTTTTTGAGACAGGGTTTCTCTATGTAACAGCCCTGACTGTCCCGGAACTTGCTCTGTAGACTAGGCTGGCCTGGAACTCACAGAGATTCACCCGCCTCTGCCTCCCAAGTGCTGGGATTAAAGGCTTGCATCACCACCGCCTGGCTAGTAACAATAATTTAATCCACATTAGATGCTTCAGGAAGGTGTCTCACAATATCAGGATACTAAAGAATTTAATTTTAGAGTTGGAACAAATAACAAATATTCTCAGAGCATTTGTTTATGAAGTAGTATGGGTTTATACAGTAATTGTAAAATTTACTCATCATTACAACACCTCATGGCCTTGACATGATAGGAAGATTACATTACTACAAATAAATATGTCAACAGACTCTATATAAACAGATACTACAACTGATCCACATGCAAACTTTTCTTCTTTCTGTTCTTACTAGTATCACCTTCAGTTTGGACTATCTCAACTTTTACTATTCAAAGCAGGTCTTACAGCTCCCCATATGAAAAAAAATTATGTTTCAAAATTTATGTGTATGTATGTTCCTGCATGGATTTATGCTCACGTATTTATGCATACCACTTATGTAGGTATCTATGAAGGCCAGGGGGGATACAGATCCCCTAGAATTGAAGTTAAGAGGTGGTTGTGAGCTGCCTGATATGAGTGTAGGGAAGTGAACCTGGGACCTCTGATAAGAGCAGCAAAGATCTTAACCACAGAGATATCTCTCCAGCCCTTCTCCAAACTTTTATGTTTATTATCCTATTTCCTAAAATTTATAAATCTTCTAACTCTCTATATGGATTTACTTTGTTAAGAAATAGAGATATTACTGTGCAAGGTGGCATACACACCTTCGATCCCAGCACTTGGGAAAGAGAAGCAGAGTTTCAGGCCAGCCGGGGATACAGAGTGAGACCCATTCTCAAACAAACAAACAAAAATAAAGATTTAGCTTCTAAAACTACCTATCATAAACAATGGAATGACTGAATGGGTTCTTTTATTTAATTCCTATAAAAAGCTTCTTCATAAAGATAGTAGTTTGCTAATCAGCAAACTGAAATTGCGATTCAGAGAGAGCATGTACCAACTACAGGTTCACCAGATTACAGCAGCTAAACAAAAACATCTGAAGAGCCAGTTCTTTCACAATTGCTCTTGACCACTACTCAGGGTTTTTCTGTGTGTCCTTTACATACTGTTTAAGACGTAAATCTGATGACTGCTTGTATCACATTCTTTTGTAATGATAAATCTTTCCATTTTCACATATGACAGAAACTTTTTCACTGTTATTTTTTGAACTAGGATGGGATGTGGTCAATTAATAGCCAGATCAAGCAAATAAATAGAAAAAAGTATGGAAGCATTCAGCTTTAAGTGTCCCACAATTCACTAACTCCAGGGTACCTTACCAGGGAATTTTCTGTGATCTGTTCATGAACACCTCTTAAACTTTCATTTGACTTATTTTCAGTAAATGTAATCTCTTAGACACACTTGAAAATCAAAAGCACTGTTGAGTCAAGCCCCATTCAACCTTTTTCTTTACCCCAACTTGACAGCCAAATTTTCAGGACTACCAGTTTCCTGGGAGCAGGCTGGAGCCCTGGCTTGGCATGATCTTGCTGTGTAGACTAGGTTGTCCATGACTTCTGCTAGAATTAGTTGTGCTCCCCAGCTTCAATTTTTAAAAAAGAGTTTTTATTTTAAAATTATTACTGTTAAGTGTGTGAGATTGTGCACATGCCTGCAGAGGTCAGTGGATGACTTTCAAGAGTTATTTTTCTCCTTCCACAGTGGGTTCCAAGATTCCAAGAACCAACCAGGTTCCAACCTGGTTGCTAGGTTTATGTAGTGTTTTTAACCCACTGAGCAATCTCAATAGCCCAATAATTTAAAAAAATTGAAATTACATCTTATTACTTACTGTGCATGCATGTGTGTATTTGGGTGTGTGTGTGTTTGTGTGCATGTGATGATGAAAGCCAGGCTTAGTGGCACACAACTTTATTCCAGACATACAGCAGGTAAAGGCAGGAGGATCTCTTTGAGTTTAAGGCCAGACAGGGTTACATAGCAAGACTATCTCAAAATAAAATCCCCCAAATGGGTTAGAGATGGCTCATCACTTAGGAGCACTGGCTGCTCACTCTTCCAGGTGACCCAGGTTCAATTCCTAACACTCACAGGATGGCTACAACTACTGAGTAACAACAGTTGCAGGGAAACCAACACCCTCTTTTAACTGCCATGAGCACTGCACAGACATGGCACACAGGCATACATGCAGGCAAAAACATCTACTGACATAAAAATAAAGACACAATCAGAAAAGCTGTGATCAGCAGCATGAGATTCCCCCAAGGTGTGGCCTATTAATATTCTGTCACATAGTACGGTTGGGGAATCACCTGACATTCCACCCCCTTTAACAATTCCACGTAATTCTGCCTTAATTATCCACAACCTTAGTGTGTGTGCGTGTGTGCACACACTCACGCACGCACTTATTTGCACAAGCTGGAGTATGTACAAGGTTAACTGAGGCTGTGACTCTCTCTGGTAATACAGCTCTTGCAAGAGCAGGATGGGCTTTTAACTGCTGTTTATTATTGACAGGATCTTCCACATTGCTAGGCAGCACTGAGGTACATTCTCATATTCATCTTCTTTCTCACTGGACACCAAACCCAGAGCTGTAGCATGTTACATAAGCATCTACCACGAAGCTGTAACTCTAGCCCTTTTTCCGTTTGTTTGTTTTTCTGAGACAGGGTTTCTCTGTACACAGAGCCCTTGATGTCCTCGAGCTCTGTAGACCAGGCTGGCCTCGAACTCTGAGATCTGCCTGCCTTCCAAGTGCTGGGATTAAAAGCGTTCTCCAAAGACAGAGTGTCACTATGCACTCCTGGTCTGCCTGGAACTCACTTTGTAGACCAGGGACACTTCAGAAAGGGGGCAGGATGATTTTTAGAGCCAGAGGATCAGGGAGTTTGCTGTGAGATTGTATCTCCTAGTAAAGTCAGAAGCTATAGCCATAAAGTCTCACTGACAGGCTGCCCAAACAAGAGCAAAACAAGGACAACACCAATGACATGTCAAAGTGGATGGGGAAAAGTCCACAAGGCCTCAACCCAAGACAAGAACTACAGACAACTCTGGAAAGCTGTGAGTGGGAGAGGTGGTCCTCCTCAGGGAAGAGCACACCAATTGGTTGTCCAGTGCCAAATGCTCAGTGAGGAGAGCACTTGCCTAGCACGCTCAAGTCCTAGGATTTATCCCCCATTTTGCAAAAGCAAATTTGTTGCTGTTATATTATACTGGACAAGGGCTTCCAAAATAGCATTATTAACATTACAGTCTAGGTTTGGCCTAGACTTAACAGATTATAATGTATTTTTCATTTGGTGTGGAGGTAGCTCTCACATGCCAGTATTAAGAAACTAACATGGGGACTACTAAATGACACTGTGTTTAATTTCATCAGGAATGGGGATTAAAGCTATCAATGAAGTCTAAGCACTGAGAAAAAGTGAACACAAAGCTCCACTCCTAACAAAGAAGCTATTGGCAACTGATACCTGCTGGAAAGAGAAGGGCGGGATCAGTTTTTTCCAATGGGGTGTCCCTGGGCATATCAATCCCTACCTGAAGAGCCACAGGCAGCTAATGGTTGCTGGAAGAAGAGTCATGTTCATCAGTGGTATAGCCAATGATAAGTTGCTTTTGCTCAATTAAATAAACCCTCTACTCATGCAAGTAACATGAAAAAAGAACATGTGGAACATGAAAAAAGATATGAAAGTAGAGGGAGACTTGTTGGGAGGAAGGGCTTCAAAAGGTGTAGGAGGAAGAGAGAGGACAACCTGGACAGGGGTGGGGTGGGCGTGCATGGGGAATTGTGAAAGTATACTATAAACGCATAAAATCACTAAAGAATAAAAAACTGAAAAAAAAAATAGGGTTTCACTCTGTAGCCCAGTATGTTCTGGAACTATGTAGCTTAGGCTAGCCTCAAACTCATGATCTTTCTGCTAACCCTCTTGAGCACTAAGTACTGTTAAGTATCACTAGACTTGGCTTAAAAACAAAAGGTGTGTGTGTGTGTGTGTGTGTGTGTGTGTGTGTGTGTGTGTGTGTGTGTGTGTGTGAGAGAGAGAGAGAGAGAGAGAGAGAGAGAGAGAGAGAGAGAGCGCGCGAGCGAGAGAGCATATATGTGCACATGAGTGTAGGTGCCCATGGAGTTCAGAAGGTGTTGGATCCCCAGGAGCTGGAGTTGCAGGGAGTTCTAAGTCACCTGACCTGGGTGCTGGGAACTGAACTTAAGCTCTCTGTAAGAGCAGCAAGCACTTTTAACCCCTAAGCCATCTCTCCAACCTGAAGTCAGGTTTTTGAACAACATTCATAGGGGGGAGAAAAAAGTGACAGAAAAATGTTTGAAAAAAAAAAATGCCATGTGTAAGGTGTATACAGATTGAAATAGACAGTTCATATAGGTTACAATGAAGTCAATGAACCACAAACAGCTCTGGTGGCGTCAGGAGAGGAATTGGCACAGCCCTACAAGGACACATGGTCATCAAAGGCTGATGCTGTGAGGGAGAAACAAGTTAGGTCCTGAAATGATCATTTTGTTGGGGAGGAGGGAAGAGCAAGCTCAGGCCACATTTCCCGGTGACAGTTATAGAGAAATGAAGGCTGGTTCCAGTCATTCTAAGAACTGGTGGGTTAGACATGGGACTTCCAGAGGTAAGAAAACATCATAATCGACCTGCAGGGTTAAGAACAGCAGGTGAAGGAGCTCACTATTAACATCCAGTCCTACCAGGAACAGAATGAGACCTGATAAGCAGGGAGGCTCTACCTTCTGGGCAATCATGTTACAGATTTCAGGCAGGAAGTCCTCACTGAGCAGCTTGTAGAGTTGCCGCTCTCGGAGAGAGGTTCTCTCTCGGAAGCTCTCAGTGACCTGTCTCCATTCTTCTTCCGTTTGACACAGGAGCCACCAAGTACCTTGGCCTGGCCCTCGGGACCCTACAAAGAAAAAAGAATGGGACCTCAATATGTTGCCCCTCAAAGAGACAAACTCCAGAGATCAAGTGATCCTCCTGCCTCAGTCCCCAACCACTGGGGTTACAGGTACTTTACATGCCTGCATGATAATGTATACTTTTATTATTTAAAGAAAGAGACTAGACTTAAACTCATATGCATACTTTTGATTTTTTTGTTACTGTCATTGTTTGTAACTAGACAAATGCCTGCAAAAATAAAACTATAATTATTGTCATTTAAAGAAAAATTTAACACTCTAGAAATGCTTAAAAATATTAAAATGTATTATTTCTCTAGAAAATGGTTTTGAAACTGAGGCTGTAGAAATGTATTCCTTATCTTGGTTATTTCCCTCCAAATTTAAAGGATCTGAATTACAGAATTAAGCTCTAATCAGAGTTTAGGCATGGCGCATTCCTTTAATCCCAGCACTTGGGAGGCAGAGGCAGGACGATCTTTGTGAGTTTAAGGTCAGTCTGGTCTACAGAGTGTGTTCCAGGACAGAACAGAGAGAAAGCCTGCCTCAAAAAACCAGAAATAATAATAATAATAATAATAATAATAATAATATCTAATTATGTATATACACATACATGCATATTAAAAGGCAGCTCTCCAAGAAGCCACTTGCCTATCCAAATGTCTGAGTCTTTAATATACTGTGCCAGGTAACAGAACAGAACTAGTTTTGATCTAGGAGATGGAGGATGGAGAAAGAATGAAACAGGGACCAAAAACCTGGAGGCCGCTGGAATCACCCTACCTACTGAAGGATATGTTATCACTGTAATACATGTATGAATTGTGTTGATTTGATAGATAGCAACAAAGATCATTATTACCATTTCTTGTCTGTAGGTCAGATGCCAAGGAGTTTTCTTCCTGTTTTTCACTGAAACAAAGGAAAAAGAGAAAACAATTAAAACAAGACACTGACATGCCCAAATTGTTTGATCTTTCTTGCAGGTATGGACTCAGTTAACACAATGGTGGCTGGGGACGGGGTGGGCTGTCAAAATTCAAAGTTAGGAAGACTAATTCTAATGAGAAATAAAAGTAGGATGTATGGTAGGCTTGATGAGAAAAGAGAAGTACTGAAACCCAAGTATCAAGGTTATGGCATCAGCACCAATGAAGAGAGAAGTGATACTGTCAGAGTTCTCTCTGACTTGTGGCTACACTAGGGAGGACACGTTCCCTTACCTTTATCTAAGGAAAGTGCCAAGAGAATGAGTTAGGAAGTTGAACTGCCTCTGCTCAAGGTCTCTCACTTACCAGTAGAGGGTAGTACAAGCCGTATGTACCAATACAATGACTCTAGCTTCCCAACACTAAAGTAGGTATAAAACAGTTTTCTGTCTATAGAACAGTATGTGGACATCTCAGGAGATCCCAAAACAGATTCTGAATACATAGTTCATAAGTGACTACTGGACATTTTCCACAAATACCACTATGCAAGAAATAGGCAGCTGTAATCAACTTAAATTTAACTATCTTACTAACCATGTGATTTCTTAAGAACCCCTTCCATTACCACCTCTTTATCATAGCCTTGCTATGTAGTCCAAACTAGCCTGGAACTTACAATCCTCCTGCCTCAGCCTAGGAATATTTCTTCGTTGTAAGGGGAGGAAAAATCACCGAAATTGCCATTGCCACTGCAAATATATCTAAATTAATTAAGTAGAACTTCTAATCTCATGAGAAGAGGCTGTTTATTATGTTACTAAAAATGTTAAGGGCCCTAGTTTGATCCTCAGCACCTACATTTCTTTTAAAAAAGCAAAGTCAACCAATGTGCTGACTAGTTTCGTGTCAACTTGACACAAGCTAGGGAACCTCAATTGAGAAAATGCCTCCATAGGATCAGCTGTACGGCATTTTTTTTTTTTTTTTTTTCCAATTAGTGATCAATGGAGGGGGGCCTAATCCACATTGTGGACGATGCCATCCCTGGGCTGGTATTCCCAGATTCTGTAGGGAAGCAGGCTGAGTAAGCCAGTAAGCAGCACCCCTCCATGGTCTCTATATCAGCTCCTGCCTCTAGGTTCCTGCCCTGTCTGAGTTCCTGTCCTGGCTTCCTTCAATGATGGACTACGATGTGAAAGTGTAAGCTGAATAAACCTTTCCTCCCCAACTTGCTTTTTGGGTATGATGTTTCACTGAAGCAACAGAAATCCTAATAAGACAGCTATGCTTGTAATCCCAGTGCTAGGAAAGTAGGCCATAATCAAGAAAGACACCAACATCAAGCTCTGGCCTCCATATGTTTGCACCCCGACCCCACATACTCATACACAAAAGTAATGATATATGAAATTTCCCAGATGTGAAAGAATGTATTTTTCTCTCCTAAAATTAAATACAAAATTAAAAATTCAAAAAATATTTTACATTTTATCTTTTCTTCATTGTAGGAATGTCCATGTTCAGGCACCTTAATTACTACAGTAAAAGAATTAAGACCTAAACCTAGAATAATATATAACTCTATTAAAAGGTTAATTAGTCAATGCTTGGTGGGGTATGCTAGGGAAAGGAACCCTGGTCCTTGGGTATTCTACCACTGCACTATAACCACAGTCCACAATAATTAACCATGGAATTAATTTGCCCCACATTCTTGTGGTATAGACAATTTTAAAATGTACACTAAAATGAATGTTTATCAAATACCATTGGTCAAGCACAGCCTTCGTTTTCTTGTATGGCTACGTGCTGTCCTGTTCAGTTTAATCCTCACTAAATGAACAGCCATCATCCAATAAAATAACAGGCTTAGGGAGGCAGGTAACTTGACAGACAGAGGTCATGCAGACAGGGTTGCTTGAAAATTTCCTGTGCACTCTGGCTCAGGTCTCCATAAGCAATGACCTATGTCCTCTCCACACGCAAGTAAAAATAATAAAGACAAAGAGTGAGGTGAATTAAGGTTTTTTCCAGTATGAGAGCTGTGAACACAGACCAATGAGATTTCTTACCTTGATATAATCTCCTCCTGTACTTTTTTCCTTTTTGGAGGCCTTCCTCTTCTTTTGCCTGTTTTTCCAGGAACATTTGAGACATTTTTTTGTCTTTCACTTTCCCTAAGAAACAGTATCATTAAATAGAAATGTTCTGGTATGGTACTAACAACTAATACAGGTTTTGTATTAGTAATTACAGTATTCTCTGCCACAAGGATACAAAACTGGATTATGCAAAATAGGAGAAACAGGGAATAGACAGAGGGATTACCAAAATGTGGAATCAAGGACATTTTGTAATATCCAACCCCTTGCTAATAGCAAGCACTGCTCATAGCAGTAACGAAGTCTCAATAAAACCAGAGTTTAACATCATTCTAGACACCATGATAATGAGTCATCTGCTCTTTGTTTTTTTGTTGTTGTTGTTGTTGTTGTTTTGTTTTTCAAGACAGGGTTTCTCTGTGTAGTTTTGGTGTCTGTCCTGGATCTCGCTCTGTAGACCAGGCTGGCCTCCAACTCACAGAGATCCGCCTGGCTCTACCACCCCTCCCACCACTCACCACCACGCTGGGATTAAAGGCGTGCGTCACCACTGCCCAGCTTGACTTCTGCTTATTTAGGAAGCACTTAATACAAGGCTTATTTTGCAGATATCATGTGAGATTCTGCCTTAATGATGGCAGATCCTCAAGTTCCTAAGGCAGATTATCAATCCTAATAGGAAAAAGAAGCACTCAAAGCCTGCTGTATTAAACAGTCTGTGGAACTGTACAGGTACTTACTGGGAATCTCTTATGTATACCTGTAGCAGAATATTTGTTTAACTATGTAAAGATGTTTATGTTTTACCTTACCTGACTACGATTGGTCTAATAAAAAGCTGAATAGGGAGAAGGTATAGGCGAAGTGTCCAGGCAGGAAGAGTAAGTAGGAGGAGGAATTTAGGTCTGGCTGGCTAGCCAGCCAGGCAGTCAGGAAGAGGCAGGAAAAGTAGGACATATAGAATGAAAGTTAAAAGGCCTCAAGGCAAAATGTAGATGAAGAGAAACAGGTTAAATTAAAAGAGCTAGCGGGACAAACCTAAGCTAAGACTGAGCATTCATAATTAATAATAAGTCTCCATGTCTTTATTTGGGAGCTGGTTGTCGGCCCAAAGAAAATGCCAGCTACAAATACTTCATGTTCAAAACACATTATTTTCACTACAGTCTTATGGCAGAGGCTATAGAGTAATTCCTTTGTATTTCTGTATGAAACTCCTGCCACCCTGCTGCAGGCATGCCAATACAACTAATAACTGCATTGGAAAAAAGAAAGTGCTATATAATTCTGATACATTAACTTTCACAGCCCCACCTCACTCCCAACATACACATACAGGGTTTCTCTATATAACAGCCCTGGCTGTCCTTGAACTCATTATATAGAGCAGGTTGGCCTCAAACTCACAGAGATCTGCCTGTCTCTGCCTCCCGAGTGCTAGGGTTTAAGACCATACCCGGTCTTTTTCATAGCATTCTAAATAGAGCACTTATCACAGCCCTTACATTAGAGACAGTACCTGCTCAAGGAGAGTTCTCCATTGGACCTTCCTTGTACTGGGTCTTCTTTGTACATTCGTGTCCCATAGAAGTACCAATAGAGTGCACCTGAATTGTCTTCACCCAGAGGCTCTACTCGGAGACTGTCTGCATCTAGACCCTGGGCAGAACAGGAATATGGATTTGTAAAAATGAGAAACAACATAAAACAGGAGAAAACTAAATGACAATTCAAAATTTACACTTAGACACACCTCATATTTTACAATGCCAATATGCTGTATTTTCTATCAGGATAGATGAAATGCAGACAAAACAGAATGTGGTTCTGCACTCTATCTTTTCCATAATCCACAGAAACTAGGAAAAAATATTTTGCAGGTACCCATGGAGGACAAATAGAGTATTGGATTCCATGAAGCTGGAATTACAGGCAATTGTGAGCTGCCCAAAGTGGGTGCTGGGAACTGAACTTGGGTCTCCTGGAAGAGCGGTAAGGACTTTTAACTGCTGAGCCATCTCTCTACCCAACATAGCACCTTCTTTATTCCAGCCGAGATCCAGTGAAGCAATTCCCAAGTATTCCAGGGCACGATCTGTACTGTAAGTGCTCAGCAGGGACTGCACTAAGTTATATGAGTTATGTGTCTGTGCACAGAGCTCAACTGAGAATCGATACATTTAATCAAGTGATTGAGTAGGATTAGAAATTGATCTCCCAAGCCCTGGTGGCACACACCTTTAATCCTAGTACTCAGGAAGCAGAGGCAGGCAGATAACTGTGAGTTTTAGGCCAGCCAGAGCTGTTACCCAGAGAATCCCTGTCTCAAAAAAACAATCAATCTCAATCTCAACTCTCTCTCTCTCTCTCTCTCTCTCTCTCTCTCTGTGTGTGTGTGTGTGTGTGTGTGTGTGTGTGTGTGTGTGTGTGATGTCTGTATAGTTTTCGACTGTCAGTTTAATTACAGAAAAAAATTCAGTGGCAAATTCATTGCTATTTTGTGTGAAGACAGGATAATAAGTAGGTTCTCCTGTGTGAAATGAAAAGAAACAAATTTAAAAGCCATACACCTGCATGGCTTGCATTCCTTTCGCCACAAGGGCATGTTGTGTATACAAGTCATTCTTAATTAAGAACATGAAGACTACTATGAACAAGCTAAACTCTTGCTTCTTAATACTTTCAGATTTCACACTCAAAATGCTGCCTTTTTCCTGCTCTAGAAAGGAGCTTGCTAGAAGTACCTTGAGAAGATCAAAGACATCATCTGCATCTAGCCGGTAATCACAGAGGCGATGCAGGATCTCTACCCGAGTGCGCAGAGGAAGGTCCTGGAAACTGGCTTCTCTCAGAGGATTGGGCTTTCCTTCTTCAAGCTCCCAACGATAGTTAATGATGTCTTCCAGGTAGCTGTGGAATGTCTGAGGCCTAATCAAATGGCCCCAAACACATAAAGACATTAATATAAAACAGAAGATGGGGAGAGGAAAGTGATAGGTTGATAGTTTATAATAAAAAAGCAGTCAGAAAAAGCCTTTCACTGAAAAACTTTGTATTAGACTATTACTTTATTAAATCCCAAAGAAGATAAACTGAATCAAAAGAAATTTTTGCCAGGTGGTGGTGGCAGACACCTTTACGCAAGAGGCAGAGACAGACAGATTCCTGTGAGTTCAAGGCCAGGCTGGTCTACAAAGCAAGTTCCAGGAGAGGCAGAGCTGTTGTTATACAGCGAAACCCTGTGTGTGTGGTGGTGGTGGGGGAATGTTCACATAATCGGTTATCTTACTTTAATTCTGGTCAATGGTGTAAAATGTAAACAAGAGGCAACAGTCCCACAGAGTTACCTAAAAATATATGCTTTAAAATAGGGGGTGTGACTTAAGATAGTACATACACATACAAAACACCCTCACAGAAACATTCTGCCCAAATGCATTCACTGATATTTCAGGTTAAGATGTAAAGGTATAGAAAAGCATCTTAATACCAAGTTACTCTAATGTGAACTCATACTATATACTAATTTTCTTTCTTTTATGCTGGGTATAGTGGTGCATGCTTTTAATCCCAGCACTCGGGAGGCAGAGGCAGATGGATCTCTGAGTTAAGAGCACTGTTCATACAGAGGACTTAAGTTTGGTTCCCAGTGTTCATATCCAATGGCTTACAACCACCTCTAAGTCCAGTTCCAGGAGATCTGACGCCCTCTTCTGGCCTCCAAGACCCAAATGTGTCTTACACACACAATTTCTAAAAAGCAGGTTACCTATAAAATATAAAGCTGGGTAGTGATGGCTCATGCCTTTAATCCCAGCACCAAGGAGGCAGAGGCAGGCTCCGTGAGTTCAAGGCCAGCCTGGTCTACAGAGAGAGTTCCAGGACAGTGTGGTGGTATTGTGTTCCCCAAAATATTGTGTACTCTAATAAACTTATCTGGGGTCAGAGAACAGAAAAGCCACTAGATACTTAGGATAGGCAGTGGTAGCACATGCCTTTAATCCTAGCATTCCAGAGGCAGAAATCCATGTGTTCAAGGATATAGCCAAGCATGGTGACTCACGCCTTTAATCCCAGAAAGCAAGCCTTTAATCCCAGGGAGTGACTGTAGAAAGGAAAGATATACAAAGTGTGAAGACCAGAAACTAGAAGCATTTGGCTGGTTAAGCTTTTAGGTTTTGAGCAGCACAGTTCAGCTGAGAGCCATTCAGATATGAGGACACAGAGGCTTCCAGTCTGAGGAAACAAGATTAGCTGAGAAGTTGGCCAGGTGGGGTTAGCTGTGGCTTGTTCTGTCTCTCTGATCTTCCAGTATTTACCCCAATACTTGGCTCAGGTTTGATTTTATTAATAAGACTCTTTGAGATTCCTGCTACAGGACAGCAAGAGCTACACAGAGAAACCCTGTCTCAAAAAAATCCTACACATTAAAAATAGAAATTAGGCCGGGCGGTGGTGGCGCACGCCTATAATCCCAGCACTCGGGAGGCAGAGCCAGGCGGATCTCTGTGAGTTCGAGGCCAGCCTGGGCTACCAAGTGAGTTCCAGGAAAGGCGCAAAGCTACACAGAGAAACCCTGTCTCGAAAAACCAAAAAAAAAAAAAAAAAAAAAAAAAATAGAAATTAATGATTAAAGGACAGAAAATATATGCCATACAGATAAACAAAGGGAGCCTAAGAAAAATGAACAGGGTTGGAGGTACAGCCCAGCGGTACAGCACTTGCCCACTGTATAAGATGCCCTGGGTTTGAATCACAACTCTAAACAAGGACAGAACAGACTAACTAACTTTTGAGGGTTAGATACCACATACTGAATTTAAATTTTTATGTGGATTGGGCCAACAAGATGGTTCACTGGATAAAGCTGCTTGCTGTCAAGCCAGAAGACATGCGTCTGGAGCCCCATGACCCACATGGTAAAAGGAGAGAATCAACTCCTTCAAGTTGTCCTCTGACCTCCGTTCACAAGTGCTGACAAGCATACACACAATAAATTTAAAATTTTTTAAAGTTATGAGAAAGTACAGCAGACTAACAATGGTAAAAAGCAATCTCTCTTTCCCCTTTTTTTGATGGAATCTCAATTTGCCTAGTCTGTGCTTGCCTCAAACTTACTATATAGCCAAAGATGATCCTGAACTCCTGATCCTCCTGCCTTCACTTTTACCTCAAGTGTTGGAATTGCAGGCCTAGGCTGCCATGTCCAGTTTATGCATTGCTGGGGATGAGGAATTTGTATATCCTAGGCAAGCACTCTACCAACTTAGCCAAATCTCCAAGTCTTAAAAACAACTTTTAAAAAGTAAAAGAACAAGGGCTAGAGAGAGACTCTGCCTTCCTATTCCCAGAATTCTCCTTGTCTGCTTACTTCGCCTATACTTCCTACCTGGCTACTGACCAATCAGCATTTTATTTATCAACCAATCAGAGCAACACATATTCACAGCATACAGAACAGACATCCCACAGCAGATATACATCTAAATAAAGTATTCAGTAAAGCTAAAAATATCAAATGATGCAAAGATATGCAGCACCTAGTGCACTTAGTAAGAACAGAAAAAACTGCTTTGGAAAAGTTTGGCAGCTTCAAGTTAAACAGATTCTTAGCATATGACTATTTGCTGTGGGATGTTTTGTATGTTAAATGTGTTGCTCTGATTGGTTAATAAATAAAACACTGATTGGCCAGTAGCCAAGCAGGAAGTACAGGCGCGACAAGGAGAGAGAATTCTGGGAAGTGGAAGGCTGAGGCAGAGAGACACTGCCAGCTGCCGCCATGACAAGCAGCATGTGAAGATGCAGGTAAGCCACGAGCCATGTGGCAAGGTATAGATTTATAGAAATGGGTTAATTTAAGATAAAAGAACTAGATAACTGCGGTCACACAGTTTGTAAGCAACATAAGTCTCTGTGTGTTTACTCGGTTGAGTCTGAGCAGCTGCGGAACTGATAGGAGAGAGAGATTTGTCCTGACTGTGGGCCAGGCAGGACCAGAAAAACTCTAGCTACAACTATTTATCAAAAGAAATAAAGAATGTCTTCATAAACACACCCATGTATTATGTTCACAGTAACTTTGTTTGTAACAGTCTTTAATGTCCATCGATAAACAACAGTTAATTTTGTGTCTTATTTTTCTCCACTAGATGCAATTCAATTCTTCACCCCTCCAAAAGGAACAAATTACTGATAATAAATAGCAGTCTACATCAACACCAGACATCATGTTGGACTAAAAGAAGCTGGACAGATCATCTCACATTGTGAGCTCACCCATACAGAATCCTAAAATAGACAAATCTTAACCTACAATGGTAAGAATGAGATCAATGGTAACTTTGAGGTATTTGTATGGAAGTAATCAACTGTAAAGAACGCTTTCTCGGAGGAGCTAAGGTCCTGAGTAGAGCGGTGACTATGTGCTGGATCATTTGTCAAGAATGACTGGCTTCAGAGTCAGGCATGTATCTGTACCTGTATGCAGTAACTGGGCAGTGGAATTTGGGGGGTCACAAATTTAAGATTAGCCTGGGACATAAAGAAAGACCCTGTCTGAAAACACCTAGAAACAAAATATAAACTGTGGGTTGGAAAGATGGCTCTTTCAGAGGACCTAGGTTTGATTTTCAGCACCGCTATGGCAGTTTACAACCATCTTTTTTTGAGGGGCAGGGGGAACGACTGTTGGCCTCTTCTGGCCTCCATGGACACTTCATGTACAGTGCACAGATAGATGCAGGCAAACACCCACATATAAAAGTAAATCTTTTAAAAAAGACCTATCTCAATAAGACATGTTCAAATGCACATTTAACAAACATTCCAATTTCCAAACAAATGTGGTATTTCTGCATAGAGAACAAAACTTCAAAAATATTTAAAGCAATCAACAAAAAAATTATAACAATTTTGGATACACAATTAACCCTGAAAAACTAAGTTTATACTGATGAATTTCTACTTACAATGGAAACAAAGAGGTGAGCAAAGATCCCAGGTGAATCATAATCAGTCCATGTCAGAAAGATGAATTCAGTAGGTAAGTGTGATTACAGTAAGAACTTAGCAGTTATTTTTATGCTACTTATATACACCACTGCTCAAGACATGGTATACTTTAGTCCTATCTTCACTCTGACAGAAGTTATTTTCAATCCAGTACTCAAGTATTCTAATCTACTTCCCAATGCTGTAGGGAAAGAGAAACTAAAAGAGGAATAGCTCTTGTTAAGTCCTTAAAATATTTATTGAATGGGCAAGGCCCGTAACTAGAATAGCCATTTGGAGGGGATACGGAAGGGGACCAGGAAACACTGCAAGGAACATGGTACTGACATTTCAATTTCTGTACTGAGAAAGAAAATGACAGAATATTCAAAAATGAAACAAACTAAAGAAATTGGTTGTGCATCAAGTTTACAAGACAGTAAACAAGTGGTCCATACAAGTAGTACTACAGGTGTGGCCTGGATCAGCAGGGCAACACCACCAGTACCTCAAACACACTGAATTCCAGACCAAACTCCAGGGTACTTTGATCATCTAGCCCATGCGCGATATTCCCTTATAGTCTACTTTGTGAATTCATCCTGGTTTTCCATATCCCAGTTTTCCTAATTTTATATTTACAAAACTAAATTATGGGTAATGTTTCTGCAGAGTGCTTTATTTTCCCAACCTTATTTTTGTGGGAGCCTCAGCTGCTAGGAGTCTAGGAGGGGCCACTATAGGTGCTTACTTCAATGACAAGAGCTGATTTCTAGAGAGCCAGAGGCTATACAATCATAGCATTGTTGTCCTAGCAGTTCTGCCAAACTCTCCTACTGGGAAGTAGGCTCCACTACACTCAAGGACTTACAGGATTATGTGGGCCATCCTCGCCCAACAACCACCCACACAATCCTTTGAAGAACCATTTTTCAGTAGATTTTTTTCCCCCCTCTTTAGGGCAGTTCAAATCCAAGGCTCCAATATGCTAGGTGAGTGCTCTATCACTGAGCTACACCCTCAAGTTTTAAAAACAACATTTAGTTAGCAATAAACAAATTCCTGAATATCCTTCCTCATTTTGAGATAGGAAGTTGGACTTGAACTCCTGGACAATTACAAATGTGACCTGAAATTTTTGAAGCAAGGGTTCATTTTCTCAAGATGGGATTTCTTTTCTTTTCCTTTAAAAAAAAAAAAGATTTATTTATTTATTATGTATACAGTGTTCTGCCTGTATACATGCCCGCATGACAGAAGAGGGCATCAGATCCCACTACAGATGGTTATGAACCACCGCATGGTTGCTGGGAATTGAACTCAGGACCTCTGGAAGAACAGCCAGTGCTCTTAACCTCTGAGCCATCTCTCCAGCCCATGGCAGGATTTCTAAACAAAATCAATCTAATTAGACTGAAGTCTCACTAAATTCCACTGTGGTCTTCAGAAAGTTCAGCTTAGGTGAGATGGTATAGAATACAACAAATGTACACCTTTAAACCCAGCATTCAGGAGGCAGAGGTAGGCAGATCTTTCAGTTCGAGGTCAGCCTGGTCTACAAAGCAAGTTCCAGGACAGCCAGAGCTACATAGGAAAACCCTGTCTCAAAAATCCCACCCCACAAAACAGGAATACAACAGACAGGAGAGGAGGGCACTGGCTATCTTGGGTGTATGCAGCACACTTGCTTTGCTGTAATTTCCTCAGTTACAGAAACAGAAACAAACGTCCAAACATAATGGTTCATGTCTATAATCCAGGACTTGGGAGGCCGAGGCAGAAGGATTGCAGTGAGTCAGAGGCTAGCCAGGTGTACTCTATCACACTCTTTTCCTCGGGTGGGAGGATGGGGGAGAAAAAGTACTAGATGGTAACTGAAGTTCTTTACATGGCTATATTAATTCTAAATTGCATTTAAGCTTGGGATTAAAAAAACCTTCTAAGCCGGGCGGTGGTGGCTCACGCCTTTAATCCCAGCACTCGGGAGGCAGAGCCAGGCGGATCTCTGTGAGTTCGAGGCCAGCCTGGGCTACCAAGTGAGTTCCAGGAGAGGCGCAAAGCTACCCAGAGAAACCCTGTCTCGAAAAACCAAAAAAAAAAAAAAAAAAAAAAAACCTTCTAATGCAGAGGTATAATTCAAGCAGGTGTGATGTAGGCAATAAACAAGAGCAATGTATCATGGTGTATTTTTCACCAGTGGAAATCAGGCATTTTCACATTATGTTATAGATACTGCAGGTCCCTCAAAGTAAACGTTTATGCTCATCAATAGTTGTAGATAGTAATGCTAAGAAATTAGAACTGCTGCTAGCTTGTAATTTAAGGAATTTAGGTACACATCACTGTATCAGAACCAGGTGTAGTCTAGTTGTTAGGAGTATTTGATTCGATTCCCAGTACTACAAAAACACTGGGCATGGTGGTGCACACATGTAACTCCAGCACCAAATTCAAATCACCCTACACAGACAGTTGGAGTTCAGTCTGGGCTTCATGTGACTCTGTAAAAGGATCCAGAGACTATGGCCCATTGTGGCCTGATCCAATGTCTAGACTTTGATTTGTTTTGTTAAACAGCCAGAGAGATAAGAATGGTTCTTATGTTTTTGAAAATAATATTTTAAAGTATATTATTTTATATTTTATGATTTGGGGTGTTAAGACATTAGAGTAGCAAAGAAAGAGAACACCATTTCAACTGAGGTGTCTGGACAAGGCAAACTTTACTCTTGATCCAGAGGGTGTGCTTGGGAAGAGGAACACACTTAGATAGAAGTGAACTTGGGTTTTACTCTAGGAAGATGACTATGTCTTTCTCCATTGGGGGTTCCCAGGGTCTCACTCAAGCTCAGGCTGGCATTACGCTCTCAGGAAGTCTACACAGTGCTAGCATAGATGTGAGCCACTATGTCCAGATGTATTCTTATTCCTATGCATATCATGCAGTAACTGTCTACTTGCAACAATAAAAATCATAATGTAATTACTGCAGATCCTCTGTCCTCATCCCAGCATAAAATTGTACACTCCAGGAGAGCCAGTCGAGTATTCTGCTTAGACCGCTGATAGGACACCATGTTCAGAGCTAATGAAAATTATTGAGAAAGCCTCATGGTTTCAAAGTTGGTTCAAAAATAAAACAGAGTCACTCCTGTGGTAGGTAGTTTGATTTTATTTTTAAACAAAACCTTTATGAAAACATTTTGTTTACCTTTTTTAATGTGTATTTGTGTTTTGCCTACGTGTGTGTTTCTGCACCAAGAGCATGCCTAATGCTTGAGGAAGCCAGAAGAGGGAAATCAAATCCCCTAGAATTGGGAATTACAGAAATCTGTGATCCACTGAGGCTGCTGGGAATCAAATCTGGGTCCTCTGAAAGAACATCCAGTGCTCTTAACCAGTAAGCCATAACTGCATCCGGCCCATTAACAAATCTCAAGTGGGCATATCTTTCAATTGAGTGCACGTCCAGAAACAAGAATAAGGAGATTAATTTGAACACCTAGTAAATTTAGTATAAAGCTACTCACAGTTAAAAGACTAAATATCTCCCTAACAGACTGGATTATCTGATAATCAAATCACATTTAGAGAAAATGTGGTTAATAAGAAAAATTACTGCTATAAACTAACTGTAGATATGAAAATGTAAAACCATATACAAGTGTGTTTTAAAAATGAATAAATGCCACTGGGAGTGGTAGAGCATGCCTTTAATCCCACCACTTGGGAAGCAAAGGAAGGTGGGCTGAACACAAGTTTGAGGACAGCCAGAGCCACAGTGAGGAAGATGAGGAGGAGGTGGTAGTGGTGGTGGTAATGTTCATTTTAATCTCTCTGACCAAACCAACACATAATTTAACATGCATGCATTAAGTATGAAATTTAAAGTACTACTCCACATATACTTTACTCAAGATAAGTATTACACAAACATAAAGCATTCCTCTTAAACCTATGAACTATTATGGAGACAATAGCAAGTGTTTTTAGGGCTAGCAGTATTAATTCAGGGAGAAAGAAAGTGTTTAGCATGGCCAGGGCAGACGAGCTGATCCCTAAGACACTTCCCAAAAAGAAGTTTTCTAACAATGTCTAGAGCAAACCAGACTTACACACACACACACACACACACACACACACACACACACACACACACACACACACACACCCCTTACCAGCCTACACACTTTCATCCAAAGGTCAGTATAGCACATTTGTGGCTATCACTAACATATATCTGTCATGCAGGCTGACATGAAAAGTCAGAAAACCATATTCAGGATGACAAAGCTAGGTATGGTGTCACATGTCTGTAATTCCAGCACTCTTCTCATCCCTAAACTGGAGAGGTGGAGGCAGGACAATCAGAGTTCAGGGCCAGCCTTGGCTACCTAACAAGTTCAAGGCCAGGCCACTAACTCTCAGACTGACACCCAGAATAACACACCACTGTCCACCTTTCTCAGCCAATATGAACATTTCCCTGAACATTAACACCAGGCCTAGCTTACCAACTAGCACACTGGATTCATTATAACAAAACGATGCAACAACTTGTATTTTTCAAATTATGTATTTATGTGGGTGTCTGTGTGGGTTTGTGCACATGCCCACAGAGGCCAGAAGAGGGCATTGGAGTCCTTGGAGTAAGAGTCACAAGAGGTTGTATGACATCCAAACATCCTTAACAGCAGTATGTGCTCTTAAGCACTGACGCACCTCTCCAGTAACCGTTAACTATTTGAAAAACATGAACTGAACTCCTACATGATTTCAAAGGGCCAAGAGACTAGGAGAGCAGGGTAATTGGTCTTTTGGTCGAGTTTGTCCTATTCTGTTTCAACTTGGATCAAATCAAGGGAAATCTGGATGGCCCATGTCTATAGTCCAGCTACCTGGGAGGCTGAAGCAGCAAGACCTCGTGAGCTCAGGAGTTCTATGCCAGCCTGGGCAATTCTGAGGGACCCAGTCTCAAAGCAAAGCACAGAGAAGAGCTCTTAATCGAGGAGCTCTGTATTTGTCTACACAGATTAACATCTACTCCAAAATTCTATACATCTCAAAGGCATCAAAGAGCTGTACGTTACAGAAGAAAGGAGCCCAAAGACTCCAAGTTAATTCTGTTACTGTACTAGTTATGGGAACAACAGAAGATATGTAAGCCACAAGAATGTATTGAAATCTGATTTTAATTTAATATTTTGCCAGCAGTACAAGCCAAAATCAGAAAAATACACACACGAAAGAAGAAATCCTACACTCAAAGTAGTCAGTTGGTAAACATAAAATAAACTCAAGAATTATAATAAAGAATGAACAAACATAAGGGCTGTGAATGCGCTTGCATACAGAGCCTACATACACTGTTATGTACTGGCCAATGCTAGGTTCTTGTGTGTCTCAGGAGAATGGAGCAGGTTAATGGGTTCCCTATGCAAGAAATAGTAAGAACAGGATTACTTACGTGATATCCCTTCGCTGATAGCAGCCTTGAAGCAGGCAGGCAATCAGATCACTGATAAACTCTGAGTCATCTCTGTGAAGAGCTGCCTCTAATTCCTGAGAGAGGAAAGAGAGAGAGAAATAGATCAGAGATCTGTGTAAATGCATTGTCCCTCCTGAGCATCAGCAGACTACAAGCAACAGAATGAATGGTTAGTGGAAATAAATGACTGTCATAAACAATGCTGCCCTTCTTCCCATGTATACTTTCAGAAGGACAGTCAGAGTTTAGCATTCTAGTTTATTTCTTCCGTTACTTCTTACTAGCCCCCATTCCCCTTTATCTACATATTTCACATTAGAAGAAGCATACAAGCATATTTCTTTTTTATGAACTGATGCTAATTATATAATCCAAGAACTTGATGGGGGGAGGGGGAGCTGGAGGTCAATGCTGAGCTGTCTTTTTCAATCGCTTCTCCACCTTATTTTATGAGACAATGTCTCTCATCAAAACTGGAGATTGCTACACTAAACCTGGATCTCCACCTCCCCAGCACTAGGGTTGCAGGTACATAACATCTAACGTGTTTACATGAGGGCTGGAAATTCAAACTCTGGTCTTCATTATTACATAGCAAAGCACTTTACAGAACGAATCACCTCCTCAGCCCCTTGCTTCATATTTTAATGACAATGAAGATTATAGAAACACCATACAACTGATTATAAATTAGTCTTCATTTACTTGACAGTACTATTAGATAACCCTCCTGCAAAAGCTTTAAGGAACAAAGCAGCTCTAGGTGAATGCAGTATAGCTCTACCTACAAGACTGATGACAGCAGGTTGCTGGAATAAAGTTATTCTTACATCATCTGGCAAGAAATGAGGTAACGACTGTTAGTAATTTAATCCTAGGTGAGTGAGGTGCATTTGTTTGCACCTAAAGTTCAGGTGGAAGCCGCACCAGACAGATGATCTTCATACAGAACTCAGAAATTAAGAGACAGGTCAATGGGCAAGAAGGAGCCGTGGGAAAGAAACATCAGTAATCTTAGTTCTCTTTTCAACCCTCCCAAACAAGAATGTTTTCTGAAGTGATAGAATATGCTCTAAGTCATTTTTTTTATACAACCTAAGTTTACCTGCATTAAAACAGATTCCCAAGAGTCTGCTTACAACTGACTAGTTTACAACTACATCTATAATCCACAGAAAAATCAAACTTTTGGGCACCTTATCTCAAAAGCAAGACATGTGATTTCTGATCTCAACACCAATACATAAATACACACACACTAAAGTGGACAGTCTGTTTCTACTATAGAGAAACAATCAAGTTTTTATGGACTCTTAAGTAACTGTTCCATTTATTTATTTAAAGTCCTGAGATCCAGGAATGCTTAAAGCTAGAAGGTAAATTACAGGTCATACACTTCAACTCTCTCAACAGATAGCTAGGCCTAGTACAGCATACCTCAATACTTAAGCAGAATAGAACATCCAAGCCAATATGGGTTACAATAGCGATATTATTCACAAAACAAAAAAAATAACAAAATCTCAAAGAATGACTTTTCTAAGTCAGTAAATCAGTGACAGAGCACGCCCCCAGGGGGAGGGACACACAAAACTCCCTCTCCCTCATTAACAATCTTTATTTTAGAAAGGCTCAATGGGGTGGGCAAGATGGTTCAGAGGATAAAGGCACTTACTACCCAAGCCTGGTGACCTGAATTCCATCTCTGAAAACCACATGAAGGTGTCTTTCCTCTCCACACCCACACAAAGTCATAATAATAATTTTAATTTTTTTTTTGAAAAAAAAGATGGAGGCTCTCCTGTTTAGCATCCTGACATCAATACATACTGACATTAGAGAATCAAGCACCTGTGTGTGGTCAGCAAAGCCCTGGGGAGCCATTAACCCACACCAATCAGAAGCAGGGACAGAAAGTCTGCAGGGAGGAGACAAACCTCTGAAGGGCTATAGAAGACCAGGCCCCAGGCAGCTCATCAGGTGCTGGTCTCCAACACACCTCAGTGCACTACAAGAATCACATAGCAACAAGGGACCCTTCTAGGGAATGTGTGTCCCACTGGGTTCTCCTGCCTCTGACCCTGGTGAATGCAGAGTGTCTGGCACCCTGGCTGACCTAGCTAAGCACAACTGAGGCCATGATCTGTTGTGAAATATTATTTTAAGATGTGTTACTTTTGCTTATGTTTCATTTAACTCTGTGAAGCTGTGTTACTGTGCCTGTGTAAAACACCTGATGGTTTAATAAGGAACTGGCCAATAGCAAGGCAGGAGAAAGGATAGGAGGGGCTGGCAGGCAGAGAGAATATATAGAAGGAGAAATCTGGGAAGAGGGATTGAAAAGGGGGAGCCAGAGAAGGAGGAGGACATCAGGAGCCAGCCACCCAGCTACACAACCAGCAATGGAGTATGATTTACAAAAGTAAGAGAATGGGAAAAGCCCAGAAGCAAAAGGTAGCCAGGATAAGTTAAGTTAAAGAAAGATGGCAAGAAATAAGCCAAGCTAAGGCCAGGCAATCATAAGTAATAATAAGCCTCGGTGTGTGAATTTACTTGGGAGCTGGGTGTCGGCTCCCCCAAAGAGTCAAAAAGACCAAAAACAAACAACAACGACCAGCTAGCTCTGCAGCTCTCAAGGAACATTGCTCCGGAGGAGCGTCTGCCGTGGAGCCAGCATTCACTGTCCTTTCCCCACCTGTGAATGTGGACATGGTAGCCTGCTGGGCACTAGACAACCTATGCCCCCCTACCCAAAACCCAGTGAGTGAGCTATGCCTCTGGATAGAGCAGTATCACTGTTAGGCCATTAAGATTCATTTCCTGTGAGCAATTTCTTTTTCCCTGAGGTGTAAAGTGTGAACAATAACTGTGCATTAAAAAAAACAAAAAACAAAACCCTGTCTGCCTCTCTGTAATGAGTGAGTCACGTTCCAGACACTTGTCTTTTACAAGTCTTCCTAGATGACTTCCACTTTGTGATCCCACTGCCAAAATGCCACAGCTACATTAACATATTATAGCACACTCTATGGGACTCACTATGTCCCCTTGTCCATCCACCACACTGACTCAAACATAACTGAATCAAGCCCTGCTCTTCTGTGCTGGGGATGGAACTCAAGGCCTTTGTTATAGACAAGTGCTCAGCACTGAAATATATCTATATATCTCCACAGCCCTACCCCCCCATAACATAATTCTTTATTGATTCTTTGGGAATTTCACATCATACATCCCAATCCTGCTCCCCTCCCAGTCCCTCCATATCCTCTCCCAAACGACCCCCCCTCCCAAAAAATTAATTTAAAACAAAACAAAGAAAAGAAAAACCACCTCTCTCACCTTTCTCTCCTCTCCAACACCTCTTCATCCACTTGGACCTTGGTGGTAACAGAAGCCACAGAAAACTCAGACCCTGGCTGCTGTAGGGCCATACATGGCAGCAGCCCAACCCAGATGACACTATGGCCCAGGTGGCAGCACAGGCCAATCAGATCACCATGGCCCTGGCAGTGGTACAGCCCTAGGACACTAACATGACCACAAGTTTCAGCCTAGACCCCAGGCATCTGTATGGATTCTGGTGGCAACATGGGTCATGGACATAACACAGGCCCTGGCTAAGGTACAGCCAGGGACCCAGAAATGGTCCTACACTGCAGCACTGGCTACTTGGGCCCCTTTAAGACACTTCTACAAGGCCTTTTCTCAGAGAATTCTAGGTCAAAAGTTACTAAGACTAGGTTCAGTGATGCACACCTTTAATCCCAGCTCCCAGGAGGCAGAGACAGGCAAGTCAGAGCTACACACTGATACCCTGTCTCCTCCCACTCCCCCAAAGGCAGAGATTTTAAAATAGCTGCTTTATCCCTCTGCAATAGGTAATGGTGAGTCCCAGCAGTTTGTACCAATAAATGAACCCAAGACAAGACAGTGAAACATGCCTTTATCTCATTCTGTGGTGGACTATATATTAAGAATGCTGCAGGAGAAAACAGCAACAACAAAAAGAACAGGGAAGCCAATTTAATCCTGCCTAACAAAAGAACTGGTTTGGTTAACCTTTTCCATATTAGTTTAATGGTACAGAGTCTCAGACATGGAAAATAAAAAAGTTCTGGAGATGTATTTCACAGTATGAATGTACTTTGCACTAAAATGTGCACCCAAGCAGTTAGTAGCAAGGTACTACTGAACTGCACTTAAAAATGGTTAATGGGGAAATGATCATTTTGATAGTCCAACTTTAAAATTTGCTGCCACAATTTAAAATTTTTTCTGTTGGGAGTATACTGACTGAGTTGTTCACTTTAAAGATGTCTATCTCGGGACTAGATACATGGCTCAGGAGTTAAGAGCACTGGCTGCTCTTTCACAGGACCTGGATTCAAACCCCAGAACCTACATGGCAGCTCACAACTGTCTGTAGGGATTCTGTTCCAAGGGACCCAACGCCCTCACAGACATACATGCAGGCAAAACACCAATGTACATAAAATACAAATAAATAAATTATATATATTTAAAAAGAGTCGATCTCTGAGGACTGTTGTGATAAGATGGAGTGGCATGCTCCCTGACATATTATAAATACTATACATCATCTTCCTTACAGTAATAGTCTGAGCAAACGCTAAAGAAATAAAACTATCTTCTTCAAAAATTCACAAGTTTCTGAATAGAAATTGAAATTCTCTTTAACTCACAGTCCCCTAGATCCATGCTCTAATAAAGCTCTCTGCAAAGAACTACTTGGAAATCCAGGTTATTCAAAGCTTTATTATTTGCAGTTTCAACCTAGAGCTTAAGTCTTAAAGGAGCCTCCTAAAAATCTCCACCCCAACTTTTTTTTTCTTTTCTCACTTTCTCTTCTACTCTATTGTATCTCCCTTTCACTGTGTGCAATGAACTGTGAGCACTGAAATCTGACCTTTGCCAAGATGCTCAGGGGCAGAAGAGGAAGGGAAGGGAAAGAGCAGAAAAGGCAGCAGATCGGCAGAAAGAGGGGAACCTTGTTCCCATCCGCTCTGCAGCTTCAGAGAGAGGTGAAGAGAGTAACAGGATTTGCCCCTCT